TAGTGATGGTGGTGATGATGGTGATGGTGATGGAAATGGTGATGGTGATGATGATGGTGATGGTGGAGGTGATGGTATTAGTGAGGGTGGTGATGGTAATGGTGGAGGTGATGGTGGTGGTGGAAGAGATGGTGGTACAGATGGTGATGATGGTGGTGATGGTGGAGGTGATGGTATTAGTGAGGGTGGTGATGGTAATGGTGGAGGTGATGGTGGTGGAAGAGATGGTGGTACAGATGGTGATGATGGTGGTAATGGAGATGGTGGTGAGAATGATGGCAGTGGCAGTGGTGGTGACAGTGGCCATGGTGATGGGGGCAGTGGTGGTGGTGGTAGCAGAGTTAATGTCTCTATTTTGCCATCTCTGCCAATTTTCATATACTGGAACTGGAAAGAAGTTCACTGGGGCCAGACTGAGTGTGTGTCGTGTGACAGAAGGGGTGAGAGGCTTGTATTTGAGTCTCTTTGGCATCAGGGCTGCAGGACAAGTATCTCCCACTCTGGCTGGGAAACAGTGGAGTATTTAAAAATAGAATTTTATGAGCCATCAGAGCCTTTCCAGAAATATATCTCCATGGATGGGGGCCCACAAAAGTCTGCATTCTGGCCCCACAGCCTCACCCCACTGGATGCTCCAGCCCTTACTCAGGATTTCCCATACCATGAGGGACGCTCCCAGCTGGAGAGGGCCTGTCAGCACAAGTGGCCGGCTGCCCTGTCCTGGGAGACTCCCGGCGTCCTGGCCCTGTGCTGAATGCTTCAGTGCTGACTCATTTCTCCTTCTGACAAGGGATCAGCCCTAGCAATCCCCTCAGCCTACTGACAAATTCCACCAGCCCCTGTATCAGGATTGTACAGTTGCCCAGATACGACCAGCCTGGGACAAGGGGTGCCCCAGACACTGAGGACCCACACCTCATTCGAACCCAGCGAGGTGACCTGCAGGTAATGTCTTTGTCTCACCATGCCTGTGTCTTTGGCTCTCAAATGGAATAAATAACCCCTTCCTCCCAGCCCTGTGGCCAGAATTGGGGGAGGCATGACACAGAACATAGACATAGTGCCTGGCCCTTGGTTGAAGCCATGTTGGTTGACTCCTTTATTACTAGAAGAGCCAAAGACCCAGACACGGTCTAGTTCAGTACTGTCGATAGAGACAGAAGACAAGCTACCTGTGTAATTTAAAATTTTTTAGTACTCACGTTTTCAAAATGTAAAAAGAGGCAGATGAGATAAACTTTAACCATATATTTTATTTAACTCAATATAGCCAAAATATGAACATTTCCAACATGTAATCAATATAAAAATCACTAATCAGGTATTTTGCATTCTTTTTTTTTTGTTCTAAATCTATGAAATCTAATGTGTAATTAATTTCCTCTTACAGCACATCTCAATCCGCATCCTAAATTTTCATTGGAAATACTTGATCTGTGTTGAGATTTCATAAAATATATAGCTGAAAATGTAGATTCATATCCCCAAGTTATTCCAAACACACATAAAAGTATAACAATAACTGAATTGTCTATATTTAAATTTAATTTTAAGTTAATTCAAATTAGGTTGAATTAAGAATTTGGTTCCTCCATCCCAGTCACCACCTTTCAAGTGCTCAGTAGCCCTATGTGGCAAGGGGCCACAGACAGGACAAAGCTAGTTTAAGACCTACATATAAGAGGCAGGGAAACTGAGGCACACAGGAGGGAAGGGACATTTTCAGGGTCACACGAGGTCTTAAGCACCAGAATGCAGGGTAGTCTGCGCTTAGTCCTTCCAAGACCACCACTCTCTCTTTCCTGAGGGCCCCAGAATGGTCTAACTGGCACTGCCCTTGGGGACAGAGAATCATCTTCTCCAGTCCTTTTTTGCCACATTTTGTCCTTGTGCTGAATCAAAGCTGGCCTCCCTGTAATTTCCGTCCACTGACCACCCCAGAGAACACTGCTGCCCCTGCCTCAGGGCAACTGCAGAAATCAGCAGATGGGCATCAGGTGCCTCTGGGTTAGCCTGTGTGTTTTCTGGCTCCTCTAAAATCCCATCTTCCTGCCTTTCCTCCATCACAGTTAGTGCCTCCTCCTGTTCCAAGGTGGGGCCATCACCTCCTTCATCGTACAGCAGGTACCTCTGTTAATGCAGCCAAAGGGATTGAATTGATCTAGCTCTTTAGTGCTTGCCAAGAATGTAGATGTTCTTCCCAGCTCCCTTTGAGGTTTGGGTCTTGAGGGGACTGTCCTCTGGGGACCATCAGGATGTCTTTTCCAGACCAGAAACACTGCCTGCCTTACCCACTACATCCCACCCCAGTGTGGCTCAGAGTTGGGATTCTCTTCTCTCCTTTTCTTTTCTCCCTTACCAGTCTTATGCTCACACATGCACACTTATATGCACTCACTCACCCCACTGAGTGGCCCTGACAAGAACAGGGCAAAGGAGAGCAAAGGGATGCCCTTCAAGGGAGGGGACAGAGCAGCCTGTGGGAGGGAGTGGCCTGGGTACCCCAGTGGGAGAGTGGGGGAGGGCGGCTGACCTTCCCGGCACAATGCCCCACTGGGAGGAGCCCCTCCAACCCCATCCCCAAGGGAGGGAGCCCCTGACAGTGGGACACAGCCTCGAGCTGGTCAGAAGTGCCCCACAGCCTCTCAGAGTTGAGGGAGGACCTCCCCTGCCTGCCTCATGTCATCAGCGGGCACCGGGAGCCCCGGGCATGGAATCAGACAGATCCGCAGTTGAATCAGGGTTCTGGGCCAAGTCGTTTCACCGTTGGGAAGCCCGGGGGTCACCATCCGTGGGAGCAGGCCTTGATGGGGCCTCAGGCTCAGGGTGGCTGGGGGGCTGGAACAGCATTTGGCACATGGCAGGTGCAGAGAGTGGCTCCCACTGAGACAGCCTGGGCGCCTAGCAGTCGTCATGAAAGAGGGGTGCGTCCAGCACTTACTATGGGCCAGGCGCCTGGTGAGCATGAGAGGCCATCCCTGGGTTGACTTCTCAGCCCCGTGAGGCAGACAGGACCCCTGTCCCCACTTTGCAGACAACACCTTCTGTCAGGAAGTTCCCAGCTCACAGGGTCCCGGGGGCGCTGAGCACAGGGTGGGTTTGGAACCCAGGCAGTCCGCCCTCAGAGCTCCCGCGCTGATGCTCTGCCTCAAGTTGCTCTCATTTCTCACCCTCCTCCTTCCCTCCTTCTCCTCTCAGGGTCCTGAAGGAAAACCGGGGAAGCAAGGCGCGAAGGGCCGGACCGGAGCCAAGGTGGGACCCCCTTCCCTCCCCCACCTCTCTCTTCGCCTCCTGCTGGGGCCCCGTGACAGCCTGTCTCTCCTCCCACTGCAGGGTGCCAAGGGCTACCAAGGACATCTGGGTGAGATGGGCGTCCCTGGAGACCCTGGACCCCCTGGCACCCCAGGCCCTAAAGGGTCCCGGGGCAGCCTGGGACCAACGGTGAGAACTCTCAGGGTGGGGTGGGGTGGGATGGGCAGGCAAAGAGCAGCGGTGGGGCGGGGGGGAGAAAGAGAAGTATCGCCCCGTCCACCTCTCAGCCAAACTTTGGCTGTCCCTTGTCCTAGCCGCTTCTCTTGCATCATGGATCCCTTGGGGATCCTGTAGAAGCTGCCACCTCTCTCCCTGGAAAAGTACCCACAACGTCAAGTATGTGTTTCCGTTTGAAGGGCACTGTGGGTCTTCTGAAGGACTTTACAGACCCAGACAAATAAGCATTCTATGGTGGGGAGAGGGGACCAGCTCCTCGGGAGGGTTTTTACGGAACAAGTTTTCCCACTGGAAGTAGATTCATGAGGATCAGGCTGCAGATCACTGGGTGACTCTGAGGCCATCCCAGCCTCTTGCTGGCCTGCCCGGAAGGAGGGCCCCTGGGGTCTGCTAGCTGCAGAGGACGGAAGCAGAGGGGAGGCAGGCCAGTGGGGCATCTCTGAGCTCCCAGCATCCCTGGTGTGAATGCCCCTGCCGTGGCTGATCCCAAGCCACTGGCGTGGTGTCTGCAAGCGCAAACTTGGGAGGGAGATGCGCGGGAGTGTCTGTCATCTGCTAGTTCCACCACACGCACTCAGTAGACAGAAATAAGCTGGAGCCTAGGTAATAGTAAAATGGAGCAAAATTACTGGAAGGGAGGAGTTTTGAATATTTGTCATCTTCGTCTTCAATCAAGAATTGATTGAACTGTACGTTCATATAATTCAACTTCCTATAGCTGCTTCTGTTTAAAATTGGCTCACAAAAGTGAAGATGGTTTAGCCACTGGGTGTTGTGAACCCCTGGAGCTGGGAGAAGGAAGGGCTGGAGGGAGGAGGGGAGCTCAGGGAGGAGCTGTGCAGCCTGGGTTCTGGGCCCCAGATGTGCCTGTTGGCGGGGCTGGACTGGGCTGGAGCCAGTGCCCAGGTCACTGCTGTGAGAACCACCTGTACCAACACGCGTCTCCTTCTGTCCTAGGGTGCTCCCGGACGGATGGGGGCCCAAGGAGAGCCCGGACTGGCTGGTTACCATGTAAGAAACTCTCCCCTCCTTCCTCTCAGAATTCTGTTCTGCAGGCGGGGGACCCAGGTGGGCCTCGGCCTCTGTCCCCACCACCTCCCCACGGACGGTGGCCCTTGGGCCACTGAAGATCTCTGGTCTCCCCGGGCCCAGGGAGCCCCTGGGCCCCCAGAGCAGGGGTGAGCAGACAGAAACACCCTCCCCCTCCACGTGCCCTCGCTGAGTCCTTCCTTCCCGTGGTGGGAGCCACACATGCGTCCTGTCCCGGCATCATGCCGGCTGTCTGTGGGAGGGAAGAGCCTCACCCCGCTTTTGCATCCAAGCTGGCACCCCTCTTAGAGGCGGCTGAGCCAAACCCATGTGATATAGTTGGGTGACTAGTCCTCAGAGAGGCTCCGGGCCTGCTCAGAAAGGGAAACTGAGGCTTAGGGAGGCTAATGACAGCTTGTTAAGTTTGAAGGTAGGATTCAGTGTCTAAAGGAGGCACAGCAGGGAGAGGAGGCCAGAAGAGGGACAGCGCAGAGGACATGGGCACCGGAGAGGGGGCACTGGGAGCCCAAGGGAGGAACGAGCCTATTATGCTTCCCGCCATAGCCTGGGGAGGTCGGCTGAGGCCAGAATTTTGCCCCTGCCCCTGCCCCAGGGACACAGCTGGCTCTCGGAGATCTGGGCCCCAGGTCTGCTCCAGGCTGGGGTGAGCCACGCCCCCGACCATCCAAGCAGGCCCACCCCTGAGCGGTGTGTCAGGGACTGCCTGGGAGGCACCGGGCTCAGAGTCACACAGTGAGCTGGGGCAGAGCCAGGGCCCAGACTCACAGCCCAGGGTCTCCACCTAGGAGTCCCTGGCCTTCATCACTGTGCCTCTCGAGCCCTCACTCCCCCATGCACTTACCTCTTGCCATCTTGTTTCCTGCAGGGACACAAAGGCATCATGGGCCCCCTTGGACCTCCTGGACCAAAGGGTGAAAAGGTGGGTGCTCAGTCCTGGGAAGCAGGTGCCCCTTCCCGTGTGGGCCAGCAGGAGCCAGCCCCTGGGGCACTGTGGCTGGGGTAATGCAGAAGTTCACAGTTCGCTGCTCACGCCGAAGAGCCAGGAGCCGTTAGACCTACATTCAACACAGATGGCCTGTGTGTCAGGTCGGAGCCCAGCACTGGAACAGAACCACAGTTCCTGCCCGGCCAGGGTTTCCAGTCGAGCAGGGGAGATGGATGCCAACCACGTCCTGACCAGAACTGCAATTCCATCATCTGAGTGAATGTGGGCATTGAAGCCTTGCTCAGGAATGAGATCCCGCAGTGAGAGCCAGCGCAGGGCTTAGGACAGAGAGTGAGACCAGCCTTTCCTAGCCAGAAAGGAGCCACTAGGGCAGAGGGAGAGCATGCCCATACCCCACCGCTTGGCTCCAGCTTCAGTGGAAGAGAGAAATTGCTAGAAGAAAACTTGCTGATGGTTGTGCCCTGCCGCACGGTGCAGGTAGGGATGTGGGGCCAGGGGGCCAAGGCAGTGGCCCCGGGTAACCTTCCGAGGCAGCACCAAACTGGCTCTGGGCCGAGGCCTTTGAGTCCTACCTTAGCAGCTCAAGTGTCCCTGTTCTGGCCTCCCTCCTCCCCTGATGGCTCCGCCTTGGGAATGCCTCCTAGCAGGCGGCCCCCTGCTGTCTCCTTGCCCCCCCCCCCCACCTCCCCAGCCCTCCTTTTGTGAGCTGAGTCAGCTACCCACTGACCACATCCCACTGCTGCTGTCATGTGAATCACCCCGGTCTGGCTTACTGTCCAGCTGGCCCCTTCCTCCTGCTTGGAGAAGAAGAGCTCTGCAATCAGTGGGCTCCGACATCCCACAGGAGCTGCGTTCAGTACCCTGAGTCTCCACGCCTTGGCCCTGAGTCGGCCACAGCTGGCACAGGATGGGTTAACATGGACCCTGAAACAAGGGGAAACCTCCACCCCACCCGAGCCACCTGCAGCCCCAGGCCCAGTTTCTGTGGCTGCTGCGAATGGGATCCTAACCCTAAACCTGCCCCAAGTCTGCTGGGGCCTTGGGTGGGGCCCTAGGGTTCCCTGAGCCTTGATTGCCCCATTTGTTAAGTGAGTGCATACCTCAGGAATATGCGGCTAAGCAGGACATCACATATATGTCAGCCATAGGCACTTTCAGAAAGTGATGAGGTAGTAGATTAGTTCACTTGTGCGTTCAGCTATCCGACAGGTATTTATGGATGAATAATGATTATGTAATGTTTTCTCGGCCCTGAGCTGGGGGCTGCAGAAGGAGGCCCTAAAGAACTCCGGGGTAAAACTAGATGCAAGAGTGAATAGCCAGGCACAAGCTGGAGGGTGCTGGGAGGAGGGGGAGCAGGTTCCCAAGGGAGACCCCGAAGCACACAGCCGTGTGCAAAGCTCTTCCCTGGGATTCCTCCACGGCCCTCACTGTGAGGTGTCAGTGTCCCACATGATAGATGGGGAAACTGAGTCTCCAGGATGCTCAAGGACTAGGCCAGGACCAGTGGAAAGGTGGCAGGACCAGGATGCAGACTCTGATGTCAGGCTGTGCCTCCCTGACCAGAAACAGGCACTTAGATGAGCTAGGATGCTGCTCACCTGGCGAATTCCCCGAGGGCATGTGTCTACAAAGGTGGTATCTGGAGGGGATTGGCCATGAGACTCTGGGAACAAGGAAGAAGGGGGGCTCCATCAGCTTCCTGCTGCTAAAAACAAATCCCCGAACTATAGCTACAATTTGGGGGGAGTGGGGGAGATCTGTATAGCTGGCTTTTGGCTCAGACCACCACTTGATTCCTATGTGGCCTTAACTAAGACCTTTCTTTCCCCGGGCCTCAGTTTCCTCATCTGTAAAATGGGCCAATAGTCATAGCAGCATAGGAGTGCTGTATGGATTCTGTGGAACACCTCCCGAAGGGTCTGCCACACAGAGTACACTCAGTAAACACGGCCCCCTTCTCCAAAGTGCCCCAGTCCAGCTGCCTCCCTCTTCGGTGGGACCGAGACTTGGGACAAAGAGCCATAGAGAGAGGTCAGGGAGGAGAGGGAATCCCCACTCCCTGAGCCACCCCCTTGGGTACAACTGGTTCTAAGCCTTGGGCCAAGGCCCTCCCGCTTTCGGTCTCTGCCCACAGGAGCCACAGAGGCTCTGGGCCAAGGCGCTACAGCTGCCAGTCCTCAGGACTGATTTGGGCCCGGGACGGGCTCCAGCCCCAGGGATGGCTCCCTGTCCTGCCTCTTCAGGCTTCCCCTTCCATCGCTGCCAACAGCCAGGGGGCCCAGGGGGCCCCCTCTCGAGCCTCCTACCCAGAATGACCCCCAGGGGAGGTGGCACCAGTTGTTGGGCTGGAACATTCTGAGCCCTGGGGTTCTACCTCTTGCTGCTCTGATCACACCTTCCCTGTAGCTGGCACACGGCCTCCTGTCTCCTGTCTTGCTGGTGGCCCGGGGCCTAGGGTGGCGTGCCAGGGCTCAAGGGCCTCCACCCTAAACCCTACTTCTCCTGCAATCCCTCTGACTATATCCATGCCACCCATCGTCCCTGCTGCCGTTGTCAACACGGCTAAGTTCATGGCTACCTGAGCCCCTACTATGAGGGCAGTAGTGAGCTCTCCTCCCTGGGTCCCCAGAACAGGGCTGCAAGGCATCACAATCCCGTTTCGCAGAAAGGAATCTGTCTTGTGGCCAAAACTCTCAAATTGGCCCACAGTTGAGTGCAACCTGGGGCAGCCCAGCCTGCTTCTGGGGCTGCCATCCAGGATAGAAGATTCCTGTTAAAGCTGGCTCTCTGCCCACTTTATTCCAGCAAAGATGGGAGAAAGGGACTCTTTTTCAGGGCTGAACAATGGAGCAGCCCCCATGGCTTCTCTGTGCCTCAGTATCCCCATCTGTAAAATGGGGAGAATACCATCACCTGCTTCGTAGGGTTGTTGGAAGTATTCAGTGAGGGTCTGTGCCCACCAGCTGTCGGAATTATTGTCCCTCTGTGCTGACCACCGCTTAGGGACTTTTTGCATCATTTCCCAGAATCCCCACCACTCCCTCCTAGGTACCGCCATTGTCCCTTCACCCCACCTCACCCCCATTCCCCAGCTGAGAAGAAGAGCTCCAAGATGGGAAGGAAGGGACCTGTTGGGGGTCTGAGCTGCTGCTCCTGTGCAAAGCTGGGTGTGACCAAGGTCTCTGCTCTGAGCTGCCTGGGTCTCCCAGCCCAAGGGTACCTCTTGGGGGGGGGGATGCCCAGCAGGGGGCAGTAAAGAGCACTCTCCAGGTTCCACAGCCCTGGTTCGCCCCTTCCCTCTCTAGCCTCAGTCTCTCCATCTGTAGCCCTAAGTAGACTGGACTTCATCACTGATGAAGGCCCTTTCCACTCTGTGTGGAGTGTCTGGAATTCCAGGAACCAGAAGTGTGTCTTAAAGCTGGTTGTGTCCACAGGGGGAACAGGGTGAGGATGGCAAGGCCGAGGGGCCCCCCGGGCCACCGGGAGATCGGGTAAGCCCCCTTTTCTGTCCCCTGGGCCACCACCAAGGCGGAGCCCCAGCGTCCTGCTAGGGGGAGGGGAAAGGGGAGGTCTCTTCCTGGCCACCGCCACAGGCATCCGAGGGGGTGGCCAGGAAGAGACCTGCTGGCCCATATTTTGTTGCTGTCCTTGTCATTTAGGGCCCTGTGGGCGATCGAGGGGACCGCGGGGAGCCAGGGGACCCTGGATACCGCGTAAGTGTCAGAGCTCCTACCCAATGGCAGCGTCAGGCACGGCATGTCAGGGCGGTCCTCCGTCCTTACTGGCTCCCTGGCGGGGAAACAGCCGTGGCCGGGAGACAAGCCCTCCCTCCCACCATTAGTGCCCAGCTTGAAGCACAGACCCACTGGAAGAGGGCTCAGGCCAGAATTCGTGCTGGCAGGGGGAGGGCTGGAGGGAGAGGGTGAGGTCAGGGAGGGAGACCCCTTCCTCACAGGGCCTCAGTCTCCCCACCTGTGGCCGGGGACAGCTCTCCTGGCAGAAGCAAGAGACAGACCACTGAGTGAGCACGGGGCCCCCATCAGGCTCCCCTCCCCTCCCCTGCCCTCCCCTCCCCTCCCCTCCCCTGCTCCATCCTTGCTGGCAGGGTCATCATTTTGCTGCTTTGCAGATGAGCAAGCTGAGATGGGGACAATGACACACGGCTAGGAAGAGCAAGGGCTTCGGGGGGCTCTTCTGGGTTGGAAGTTGCCCCAGCCCCCAGCCTCTCCAGGATGGGCCCCCTCACCAGTCTCTCCTTGACTTCCAGGGACAGGAGGGTGTGCCAGGCCTCCGTGGAGATCCAGGCCAGCAGGGCCTACCAGTGAGTGGTGCTCCCTGTCCCATCCGCCCGCCCCCCCCGCCCCCCGGGCCCAAGGTGGGTGGGCGGCAGTGGGGGAAGGAAGGGGCCCTCCCTGCTGGAGGACCTGGGGCAGTCCACTCTGGTTTCTCCTGCCCTGAAGCTGGGGGCACCCCCAGAACCTACACCCCCAAACCCCTCCCACCCCTCCCCCTCTAGGCGGACACTGGCCACCCTCCCCGGGAGAGACTCCTGGGGCTGCGTTGCATCCTCTCACCTTGGTTTGCAGGGGCGTCCAGGACCCCGGGGACGGCCGGGACCCGAGGGATCGAAGGGGGAAGAGGTAAGAGGACTGAGGTCCTCAGGGGACCCTGGGAGGGGCAGACAGCTGCCCAGGCACCCAGCAAGTGGGCTGGCGGGAGCCCCGCAGGGTGCTTCCGGGCCAAGATCTCTTCGCCTCCAAGGGCCTGAGGGAGGGGGATCGCTTGTCCCCCCCCCCCCCCCCCCCCAGGGCCCCCAGGAAGGGAACCACCTGTGGGGCCAGCGGCGGGACTTGAACTCAGGGCATTCGAGAGCCAGAGCCAGCCAGCCACACCACGCTGTAGCAGAAAACTTGGAGAAGCACGGGGTCTGGAGGAAGGGGGCGGGGGTGGGCAGGGATGCTGGTGGTGGGAACTGAGGGGCGGGCGAGGACTTTCCCACCTTGTACCCCGAGCCCTTGTGTCTGCCTCCTCTGAGGTTGGCCCAGTGCTGTCTTCATGCGCTCAACCTCCCTGTAGGCGTGTCTCCTTCACCCGCACACCGTCTCCCCGCCCCCACCCCCACCCCCCTCGGGGATATAGCCATACTCTTGAGGATGGAAGGATCTTGAAGCCCAGGCAGCCACGGGCCCCCTAGGAAACTGCCAGCCGAGAGCCTCTACAGCAGGGGAGCCCGTGGGGGCACGGGGCCCAGAGCAGGGGTGAGGACAACACTGGCAGGTTCCAAGGCCAGCCCTGCCCCTGGGCTCCCAAGGCCAGGGCGCTTGGACCCATTTGCAGATTCAGATGCTGAGGCCCAAGGGGCGGAGGGGCAGGGCCGGGCTGCACGGGAGCCCATTCTCCTTTCAGTCCCCCTTCCAGATCCCCTAGGGTTCTGTCCCTCCTCCAGGCGGCCTCTGTCACGTGCCCCTTGATTTTTCAGGGACCAAAGGGAAAGCAAGGCAAGGCTGGGGCACCAGGACGAAGGGGCATTCAGGTGAGTGACCCCCAGCCAGTCCCCTCCCGCTGGCCTCCCTCCTTCCCCCCTCCAGAGGCCCTCATCAACTTCTTTTATATCCCCAGGGCCTGCAGGGGCTGCCAGGGCCTCGGGGCGTGGTGGGGAGACAGGGCCCCGAGGGTGTCGCGGGACCAGATGGGTTTCCTGGCAGGGATGGGCAAGCGGGACAGCAGGTGAGCAGGACTTGGGGTTAACAGACGTGTCTCCCTTGGAGACAAGATGTGTTGTGTGTGTTGGGGTCTGGGGGGCGGGAGTGGTTCTGCCATTGGGCCATGGGCCAGGAGGAGCAGGTTCAGAAACTTGGATGGGGCAGAACCAACATATCTGGAAGTTTCCTGCGTGGGCAGTCGCCTCATCCCTCGGGACCTGGGAATGTGGCCCTTCTGACCAGCCCTGCCTGTACCCAGAAGGCCCTCCCCTGCCTAGGGGATGGAACTGCTAGTTGTAAGGTCCCTCCTCCTCCCCACTTGCAAATCTGTTCACTGGTCCCGCCCTCACGCACAGGCAGGGTGACCTCCATCCTGGCGTCTGACCTCCTTCCCTCCAGGTCCACCCAGAGCTCATCCAGACTATGAGACGTCCTGCCCCTTGGCTGCCTCTGTTTCCTGAAACATGAGAGGTCCTCCTTTGCCCTCTTTCTTTACAGGGGGAGCAGGGAGACGATGGGGACACTGGCCCCACGGGCCCTGCTGGGAAGAGAGGAAATCCAGGTGTGGCCGGCTTGCCTGGAGCACAGGGGCCCCCAGGATTCAAGGTCAGACACCTGTTAATCCACTTAGCCACCTTACCCCCTTTCAACCTTGGTACTAACTATAAGGACACTGATTATAATGCTGACGTGGGCACCCATGTCCCAGGGCCTGTGTGAAAATGGAATCCATGGCCCTGACATTTCTCAGGGGTCCCTGTCCCAAGCTTGAGTCTGACTTTCAGGAAAGTTTATCCAGGTAGCTAGAAATCCTGGGCCCTGCCAGGCCTTGGAAACAGGCAACTGGTTATTGAGCTGTCCTTGGGCGCCCTCTTGTGGGCCTTTGTGGAACAATAGATGTTGCGTGCCGCCAGGACCCTCTTCCAAAAGGCTTGTTTTTAGAAAGTTTCCGAGAGGTGGGGGAGGCAGCCACGAGTCAGTCTGAGCCTGGGGCTACACACAGAAGGGAAGATTCAGATGGGTGCATTGGACAGGGCTCCTCTGGCCCTCTCCACGCGCGAGGTTTAGTTGGGGAGAGGCTGGAACCTTCTGCGGGAACAGCCGGTGAGGGGAGGGGAGGTCTTGGCCCAGGGAGGATTTAAATGTGGAGAGAGGGGGAGGGGGCATCCCAGACAGGAGGAAGGGCTGGAGCAGAAGTGGAGGTGGGTGGGAACTTCATGGTCTTCTGGGAGGAAACAGTGAAGAAGAGAGGCAAGGTGGGAGAGTGGAGGGGAAGTTGGAGCTTGAATTCCAGAGTAAGGAAAGAGGCTGTCCTCTTAAGGAGACTAAAAATTCTGAGCCCCCACCGGGCCTGCATCTGAGCCCCAGCATCCTGAGATGTCAGCTGACCCTGTGGCATCACTATTCTGTCTCTCCTAGGCCCTCCTCCCCTCTCCTAGAACCATTTTCCCCTTTGGTCATTTTGGTGTGTATGTGTGTTTTTGGTTTTGTTTTTTAAGGGTGAAAGTGGGTTACCTGGGCAGCTGGGTCCTCCTGGCAAACGAGGGACAGCGGGTGGAACTGGGCTTCCTGGGAGCCAGGGGGAGCCTGGATCCAAAGGCCAGCCGGTGAGTGAGCCCCAGGGAATACAGATGTTCTCACACTCGCATGCACGCAAACACATGTGCACACGGGTCCAGAAGCCTCCTGCCTGCTCTGTGACAAGGACAGAGCGACACCCTCTCTGAGTACCAGATACTCCTCCACCTCCCCTGAGTGGGGTGGGGGGGAGGGAGGAGGCTGAGACATGAGATCTGAGTGGTCCCTTCAGAATGAGGACAGGTGGTGGATCACGACCTGAACCCGAAACCGCCTCCTATCTAGTAAAGAAATTCAACCTATGGTTTAAAAAACATCTCATAAGTTAAGGGAAGAAATCATACCAATTCTGCATAAACTCTTCCAGAAAATTGGAAGAGGAGGAAATACTTGCCCATATTCTATGAAGCTGGCATTACCCTGATATCAAAGCTGGATGAAAGACATTGCAAGAAAGGTCTAGACCAACATAGCGTAGAAATCTAGATACAGAAATTCTCAACACAATTTTAGAAAAACCAATCTAAGAATATATTAAAAAGATAATACATCAAGATCAAATGAGGTTTATCCCAGGAATGCAAGGATGGAATAACATTTGAAAATAAATCAATGTAATGCACCATACTAACAAACTGAGAAAGAAAACCCATTTGATCCTCCCAGTGGATGCAAGAAAAGCACTTGGCAAAAATGCAACTCCATTTCTGATAAAAGCGCTCAGCCAGCTTGGTATGGAAAAGGAGCTTCCTCAACTGGGAAGAAGACATTCGTGAAAAACGGACAGCTAGCGTCGTACTTAATAGTGAAAGGCTAAATGTTTGGATTTTTTTTTTTTTTCCAAGAAGCAGAACGAGTCAGAGATATTTGTTCTCACTGCTTCTATTCAATATTGTACTGACAGTTCTAGCCAATGCCATCAGGAATGAAAAATACATAAAAGGCATTCATATTGAAAAGGAAGAAGTTAATCTTTTCATTTGTAAATGAAATTATTGTCTAGTGAGAAAATCCAATGGAATCCATGGTAAAGCTACTAGAACAGGTGCATACAGCAAGATGGCGGAACGCCAGCTCAAGATGCACAAAGGAACTGTGTCTCTTTACTAGCCACGATCAGAACTTGAATTCTAAAGAGCAATACTATTTATAATAGCAGAAAAATAGGAACTACTTAAAGATACATATGACACTAGGTGTACAAGACATGTGCATTGAAAAATTGCAAAGCATTACTGAAATGGGGATGACTTACATAAATGGAGATGCTGTGTTCCCTGGTCAAAGACTCAGTATTGTTCAGAGGGCAGTTTCCTCCAGTTGGTGTATGGATTCAACCCAATCCCAATCAAAATCCCATCAGGCCTTTCTCGTGGAAAATAACAAGCTGAGTCTAACATTTTTATTTGGAAATGTGAAAGGCCTGGAATAACCAAAGCAAGTTGAAAAGAGAAGAGTAAAGTTGGGGGACTCACAGTAGTTGATTTCAAGACATTATATAGCTACAATAATCAAGAAGGTAGGGTACTGCCATAAATATACTAATAATAGATCAAAGGAACAGCATAGAGAGTCCAGAAATATATTCACAGGTACTTGGATAACTGCTTTTTGACAAAGTTGCAAAAACAACTCAGTGGTTACAGAATAGTCTTTTCTAGCAAGTGGGGTGGCAATTGGATACTTTATACCATGTACAAAAATAAACTCAACATGGATCATACACCTAAAGGTAAAACGCAAAATGCTAAGACTTTTAGAAGGAAGCACAGAAGAAAACCTTTGAGACCTTGGGTTATACAAACGTTTCTTAGATATGACACCAAAAGCATGATCCATTAAAAAAATTGATAAATTGGGCTTTATCAAAATTTAAAGCTTTTGCTTCTCAAAGGACAGACGCTGTTAAGAGAATGACAGGACAAGCCACGTACTACGAGAAAGTGCAAATTATAGATCTAGTAAAGGATTTGTATCTGGAATATGCAAAGAACTCTCAAAACCCAATAATGAGAAAAGAAGCAGCCCAATAAAGAAATTAGGCAAAAAATAGAAAAGAAATTAGGCAAAAGACTTGACCAGACACTTCTGAAAAGATTGTACAGATGACAAGTAAGCACATAAAAGAAGCTCAGTATCACTAGCCGTGAGGCAAATGCTCATTAAAGCCATAATGAGGTGCTACTGCACACCTGTTAGAATGGTAAACATTTCATTGTTTTTGAAGATTGTATTTGAGAGAGAGAGAGAGAGAGAGAGAGAGAGAGAGAGCACAAGTAGGGGGAGGGGCAGAGGGAGAGGGAGACAGACTCCTGGCTGAACAGGGAGTCCGATGCAGGGCTTGATCCCTGGACCCTGAGATCATGACCTGAGCCGAAGGCAGATGAGTCACTGACTGAGCCACCCAGGAGCCCCAGAATGGTAAAAATTTTAAAAGACTGAACAGACCAAGTGTTGGCAAGGATGTGGAGCAACTGGAACTCTCCTCCCGTGCTCACAGGAAATGAAAGATGGTACAATCGCATTGGAAACCGGCTGGGCAGTGTTGTTAAAAGTTAAGCATGCCCCTGCCATAGAATCCAGGCCTCCAGAATCGTTCACACCCGATCACTCCCCACAGTGGCATCTGTGTGGATATGAGCAAGTTCCTGCTCTCTGTGAGACTCAGTATTCTCATCTGTGAACAGGGTGTGTTGTGCCTCCCCGGGCGGAAGTAGGAACTCGCATGCGTGGTGGTCCATGCAAAGCCCCTGGCACGTAGAGTCCCACAGCTAATGGGCTTATTCTGAGGGACACAGTCCTTGACAGAGCCTTTGTGATGGGTAGGGAAGAGCCTGCAGGTCCTTTCCTCTCTTCCTTGAAGACCTGGGACAGGAGGTCTTAAGTGTTCTAGAGCCTTTCTCATGGAATCCCTGAGCTGGCCTCCACTGTCTCATGCGACAGAGGGCAGAGGCCCCTGCCCCCTCTGAGCCCAGGCTGACCGGTGTCTAGTATGTGAGCTGTCCACCCTCATCTGACTGCCTGGAGATGGAGGCGCTAATATCCCGGGAGGAGGCCGGCCCAGGGGTCCCAGGTGATTGGCTGGGCATCCTTGTCCTGGCCCCCACACCCCATCTCGTTCTGCTCTCCCTGCAGGGTGACTCTGGCGAGATGGGCTTCCCTGGAATGGCTGGCCTCTTCGGGCCCAAGGTACAAATTCGCACTCCTCACTGTTCCTGTTGGGGTTCCGTCCGTCCACCTCCTTGGTCGTTTATCCATGTATTCACTCAACAAAGGTTTCTAAGAGCACTTACAGTGGGGGCTGGAAAGCCGCCAGAATCAAGCAGGAACATCCTTGATCCGCAGAACCCACAATCCAGCAGACCTGGGTTTTAAGCCCAGCTCCTCAGTTTACCTGCTCTGAGCATTAGGCAAGTTACTTTGTATCTCCAAGCCTCAGTTTTGTCAGCTATACAATGGGTATGATAACTATAGAGGGTTGTTGTCACAAGGAAGTAAGAGCAGAGCTTATACCGTATAGCACAGAGCCAGCACGCTGCTACCTGCTTAATAATTGTGGACATTTGTTACTCTTCCTGGAAGCTCTCAGGTAAGGCCTCTCTTGACAGGGAGGACAAAGTGTGGCCAGCCCCCACGGGTCATGGAGCTGCTGGAGCCCCGACCCAGTGGCCACCCAGACACAGACAGCCTTTCCTCTGCCTCCCACAGGGCCCTCCTGGAGACATTGGCTTGAAAGGCATCCAGGGCCCTCGGGGGCCCCCTGGCTTGATGGTGAGTCCTCTCCTGGTCTGTCCTAGCAGGGCCAGTCGCCCAGGCCCAAGGCTGGCCAGCCGTCAGCTGGGTGGATGCCTGCCCTGCTCCTCCTGCTCCTTCAGGCTTGAACCCCCTCTGCCCAAGGCCTCCAGCCCCATTGCCATCCCCTTGCTTCTGCCGGTCCTGCTAGCTGAGCTGCCACCCTCCCCCTTTCACCTGCTCCCCTCTCCCCCCATAGCCCCCCAAAGGCACACGGGGCCCAGAATATGCATGGCCTGGGCCCTGCTTGAGGAAGTCTCCCTTCCATCACCATGGGACACTCAGGCTGCCATCTCCTCTCCTGTCTCCGTGACTCTGTTCCCCAGGCCCTGGGATGAGGACACAAAAACCTCTCTCTCTCCTTTAGGGAAAGGAAGGCATCATTGGGCCCCTCGGAATCCTGGGACCTTCGGGACGCCCGGTATGTGTAGGGGGCTGGCCAGAGAAAGACTATGGGGGCAAGCTCGTCTCTGTGACCCAGGGCCAGCCTGAGCCTCAGTTTCCCCATCTGGGAAATAGAACTTCCTCTCTGCGTCCTCTCTTATGGGGCCATGATTTATTGCAGGGTCCAAAGGGTGACAAAGGCAGCCGAGGGGACTTGGTGAGTTGATGGGCTGCAGAGGCAGTGCTGCAGTGGTTGGGGGAGGGGGAGGGGAGGGGAGGGAAGGGCTGGGAGAGGAGTGGGGGAGGGATGGAGGGCAAGGCTCAGCCCGATTCCCTGACTGTCTCTCTCTGCTTCTGTCCTCCTCCAGGGATTGCAGGGTCCGAGGGTGAGTGGGCTGCGGTACGGGGGCTGACGGGCTGGGGGAGTGGGGCAGGGTAGGCCCTCTGGGTTCCCCTGCCCGTGACCACCGAAGTCTTCAGGCATGTTCTTTCCCTCTGGACTTCAGTCATCCATCGGTACCCCTCTGTGCTGGAGGCACCGCTGTCTCAGGGTCTCGGATCAGCTCGAGGAGGCCTGGGGTGGGGAAGATGGAAGGCCTTTGACCAGGGCCTCACTGTCCTTCTCTCCCTTCAGGGTCCTCCTGGTCCCAGAGGGCGGCCCGGCCCACCGGTAGGTACTTGTGCTCAGTGCTCCTGGAGCTCCAGGGCAGGAGGTGGAACTTTGAATGAGACCCAGGGCTTTGCTGGCGGGTGCTTGTCTTGGCCCTGACCTCACAAGCTTCCCCAGACTTCTAGGAGAGCGTAGAGCAGCCCTGGCTGGACCAGGCCTCTAGAAGAGCAGAGACCAGTTTTCCACATCCTCTCGTGCAGCCCCTCCAGGCTCCTGACAGCCCCTGGGACTCCTGCGCCCAGTCCCTCTCAAATAGTGACTGAGCCTCTTCTTTTGCAGGGTCCGCCAGGGAGCCCTGTCCACTTTGTAAGTTGGAGAATGTTCTCTTTTGCTTATTTGGGGTAAGGCCTGGGAGGGCAGGGGGCAGTTGGCAGTTGACCTCTTTTCTGGGTCACAGTAGCTAGAGCCCTAAGCTAGGCCCAGGGATGCCCATGAGCTTTTGCCCTTCCACCCCAGACCCTGGGCTCTACAGCAGCAGAAAGAGGGTGGGGATTCCCGGTTTTAGGCAGAATGCGCCCCTGACTGTGAACCCAGGAAGCCGCTCCGGTGGCTGAGCTCCTGGTCCCGTCAGCACCCTCGGTACAGACTGGCTGATTGCCGAAGGTCTGAATAGGTGCTGGTGTCAGTTCAAGCTTGGGGGCAGGGTGTTCCCCATACCGAGGGACACTTGTGGGACACCAGCTGGGTGTCCTACAGTTCGACTCAGTTCTGACACCGTGCACCAGGACAAAGCATTCATGATCCTACAGGACTCCTTCCCCATCCTGCCCACCCCAGATGCCAGCTTGTCACCTGTGCTTCCGACCGACTGAGGTTCCCATGCCCCTCACAGGCATCAGTGAATGTGCTAGAGCGCCTCTTAGAGAAATATTTCACTTACTAGCTTACCGGTTTATTATTATTATTATTATTATTATTATTATAAATAAAAAACAACAGCAACAACCCAGGAACAGCCAGATGGAAGACAGGCACAGGGCAAGGCGTGAGGCAGGGGCTCACAGCTCCCAAGCCCTCTCCAGGTGGCCACTCTCCTCAAACCTCCACGTGGTCACCAGCTGGGAAGCTCTCCGAATACCACCCTTTTGGGTTTTCATGGAGGCTTCATTACATAAGCATGATGGATGAAATCACTGGCCTCTGGTGATTGATTCAACCTCTGTCCCTGCTCCCTTCCTCCCGGAGGTGAGGGGTCGGGACTGAAGGTTCCAAGCCACCTATCACAAGGTTGCTTCCCTGGGCAATCTGGCCCCTATCCTTTGGTTACCTAGAGGCTTTCCAAGAGTCACCTCATTAACATGACAAGACTTTTATGGGGTTTTAGGAGCTTGGTGCCAGGAAGAGGGTCAAAGACCAAATCTCTATTATAAATCACGGTATCCCAGAGGATCTCTTCTTCTCAGATTCTGAGTCCAAAGAGGGTCAGATGGGAGGAGGGAGGCTGTCTTCCTCCCTGGTGGGTACCTCCCGGAAAGTATGGCCCCTCCCAAGCCCCCCTCCCCCCCACCCCGGGCTCCCTCCCTGTGTTACCACTGTACTGGTTGAGGCTTACAGTCGGGCCCTGACAGCGTTCCCCCACCGCCCCTGCGGTGGCTGAGGGGAACCGAGCAGGAGCCCTTGGGCCACGAGCCACTCGGATTCTCTGCTCTCCTAACCTCAGCTTCTCACTGTCCGGCCCCCAGGCATCGTCCAAGAGAATGAACTGTCAGCCCTGGCCTCCCCTCCACACCTTCCCTAGCCCTTCTCATCACTAAGGAAGCCAGACAGCTAGGGCAAAGTGAAGAGACCCAGAAAAAAAACCCTTTTCCTCTCAAAAAAAGGAAAATCCGAGGATTTTGAATTTTTTGCACGGTAGCGGACATAGTGTTTGTGCTAGGTGGACACTGTTAGGCGTGCTCCGCCTGGATTAGCTCCCTTACTCCTCTCACGGCTCTGAGAGTGTTACTGCCATGCCCATTCTGAGGGTACTGATGCAGAGAGACGGTAAGCAACCTGCCCAGATCCTGCAGTTAGCAAGTAGCAAGGCTGAGATTTGAACTTGAGAAATACCTCTGGTGTCTGGGCTCTGGACCTCTTGGGCTTTACTCAACGTCAGAGTGTCCCTGTCACTGTTTTCACAGCAAGACCGCTTCTGGCAAGCCCCGTGGTAGGGCTGGAGGCGCAAGTATGAGATAGACAGTTACACAGAGAAAGGGGCTGCACCCAGCCTGGGGGCGAGAGCGCCAGGAGAGAGTTCCCATGGAGGCTGACATTTGTAGGATGAGTATAGGGCAGGGTTTCTCAACTGCAGCACTTATGGACACTTGGGGACCAGGTGGTTCTTTGCTGTGAGTGATTGTAGGATGTTTAGCAGCATCCCTGGCCTCTGCCCACTAGATGTCAGGAGCACCCCATCCTCCAGTTGTGACAGCCAAGTCTCTAGATATAACCAGATGTCCCCTACAGGGCAACATTGCCCCCGATTGAGAGCCACTGGAGTAGTAGATAGGCAGATGGAGCACTGGAGGGAAAGAAGAATGTTCCAGGCGATGGGAGCGGCATGTGCAAAGGCCCTGTGGCCAGACAGAGCATGCTGCTTAGCAACTTAGCAGTACAATAGTGTGTCTGGTGCATCAAGCATTTGTGGGCGACAGAAGAGAGGCTGGGCCAGAGGCCACAACACTCAGGCCAGGTCTTGTAACCACGTGGAGGAGTTCAGACTTAATGCTGTGGGTGATGAAGAGCTGTGGAAGTGCCTGGAGAAAGGGAGTGGATGGGTCAGGTCTGACTCTCTTTGTAAGTGGGGGAAGGACAGAGAGTTACCCAGAAGGCGGGTGACTTGGCCCAGGAAGGCGGGTGGGCGAGCTCCTCCTCAGACCTTGGGGCTCTCTCTTGGTGAGTCCGGGTGATCCTGGGGGTGGGGGGTAGGATACACACCCTGTCTTCTCTTTGCACAGCAGCAAGATGACCTGGGAGCAGCTTTCCAGATGTGGATGGACACAAATGGAGCACTGAAAGCAGAGGTACCCCGAGACCGCTGCCCACATGGGATCCCTTCCTGGGGGGAGATGGAAGGGACGGCTCGCACACGCGAGTCAGTGCCCTCCACGTGGCCTGCCCCGAGAGTTCTGTAGCTCATCGGTTTCCGGTGCCGGGGCCTGGGCAAAGTTGATACTGAGTCGGCTCTCAGGATTCACAGTCCAGGGAAAGGGCAGCCTGGAAGAGCCCATTGTCTTCCTTCCAGCCTGGGGGTGGTCAGTGGAAAGGCCTCCACTGACCCCTTCTGGAGGGATTTGGGGCCACCGCGGAGTGTCCTGTACCCTCGCAGCCCCCACCCGGTTCCTGGCCCCCAGTTTCCTTATCTGTCAAGTGGAAGGAGCCCCATCATGGCCCTAGGAACTCGGGCTAGGCCAAGACCTCAGGGGCCGGTGGCTACCCACTCTCTTCACGACAGGGTTACAACCATCCAGACCGGCTGGTGCTGGACCAGGGAGGGGAGATCTTTAAAACCTTACACTACCTCAGCAACCTCATCCAGAGCATTAAGACGCCCCTGGGCACCAAAGAGAACCCCGCCCGGGTCTGCCGCGACCTCATGGATTGTGAGCAGAAGATGGTGGATGGTATGAGGGCTTGTGGGGTCTGAAGAGATGGCTTCCTGCCCCGGGGGTGGAGCAGGTGGGGCAGGGGAGTTCCAGGAGGGGCTGAGGAGAGGGACCATTCAAATCTTGCCTCATTGGGGCCAAGTTTCTGTCCTTGGGGAGGCAGGCACATGAGGCAGTCCCTTATCCACTCAGCAGTCACTGAGCCACACCATATGGCCAACCTTGTGCCTCCTGGGGGGGTAGGTGAGTGGTTTTACCCTTTCAGAGCCCACAGATCTACAAGCTAGGGACAATCATTTCAGTGCAAGGAGATAAGAGCTTTGGCAGGACAAGCCCCCAAGGGCCAGGAGGGGACAGGGCGCTGGGGGGGGGGGCTGTCATGGATGCCCTGAGAGCCAGGATTTCACCCCTTTCTGTCCACACCTCTTCTCTACACTGACAAGAAGGTGGACCAGTGGCTGGTTGTCCCACTCTTTGAGCTGTGGGGCCTTTGGATCCCTTGGAAGCCCAGTGGGGAAACCACATGCCAGCACAGGTGTCCAGTGGGTGGGGTGGAGGCCTGATTTACCCCCCTCCCCTAGGCAAGCCCCTAGGAGGATCACTAGCCTTGGGGGAGACCCTCTTTAACTAGATGAGCCCTAAATGCCTTGGGCTGGTGATTCAGCCTCTCTCAGGCCTCAGCTGCTCCCTCTGTAAAATGGAGCCGTCGTAGTAGCAGCGTGGGCAAGTGCTCAGCTGCGTGGGCCCCCCAGGGGCTCTGCCCGCTCTGAGCTCTGCCCAGAGCCTGTCCTTCCATCTCAGTGGCTCCTGGAATCCTTTCCCGACTTCAGGCCCAGCTGGGGCTCAGGGGGTCCCAAGGTTTGGGGTCCACCTGCAGAACCGGGCCCTGGGCTCCCTCCCCCTCACATACCTGTACCATCCCCCCTCCACACCGCCTGCAGGTACCTACTGGGTGGATCCAAACCTTGGCTGCTCGTCCGACACCATTGAAGTTTCCTGCAACTTCACCCATGGTGGACAAACGTGTCTCAAGCCCATCACAGCCTCCAAGGTACCTGTCCGCTCCCCATCCACCGCCGACTGGCCCCCTCTACACCCACTGGGCCCTGGGCCACCGCCCACCCAAGTTTTGGTCTGAGCCTTGACTGTCCTGCTGCGTGGCTTCTTTGTGACCCTCCGTTTCCTCATCTGTGAATCGGGGGATGAATTGTTCTAAATCCGTGGTTTCTACACCCTTCCAAGATGTATGCTATTAATGGTTTTTATTTCAAGTAGAACTTTCGGCCAATATCTAAAACAGCATAGTTGGGGCGCCTGGGTGGCTCAGTCGTTAGGTGTCTGCCTTCGGCTCAGGTCATGATCCCAGAGTCCTGGTTTCGAGCCCTGTATCGGGCTCCCTGCTCTGCAGGAAGCCTGCTTCTCCCTCTCCAACTCCCCCGCTTCTGTTCCCTCTCTCACTGTGTCTCTCTCTGTCAAATAAATAAAATCTTAAAAACAAAACAACAACAAAAAAACCAGCATAGTTGGCCAAGCTGGCCGGGCTTGGACAACCAGGAACCATCAGTACAGGCTAAGTCACGGTGCCCGAGGTGTGTATGCAGGGTTTAGCTAATGTTTGATGTCTGCTTTCCAAGTGCCTGTCTCTGGGCTGAGTGCTTGAGGTAGCTCAGGGCAGCTCAACGGCAAGCCAGGGCGGGCGGCGGCAGTGGGGTGCCACCGCTCCTCCACCCAGGGTACCCCTTGGTGGATTGTGGGTCTGCAGGGGCAGCAAGTCCTCCATACAGGAGGGTTCAGGCTCCAGGGAGAGGAGCCCACCTGCCTGTAGGGGAAGCGGGGACCCAGAGACCCATCCCATCCCATCAGCCCTCCTGGGGAGGCTCCAGGAGGTGCCTTAGGCTGACTGGGTCAGACCCAGGTTTTGAGAATTTCTGTGTGGGCCAGCTGGTCAGCAAGTCTTGCTGGGTCCCTACCATGTGCCAGACACTGTGTCAGCACTGGGATTCAACAGGAAACACAGTAACCTCACCAGTGACCCCCCCAGCCAGGCCCTTTCCCTCTCTGACTCTGACTCTGAGCCACACCCACCTGGCAGAGGGGGAGGCCTGAGTGGGCACGTGCATGGGTGACCATACCCATCAGGAACAATGGCCACCGTTTTTACTGGTCTCAGCCTATAAATTACCAACATGGTGGCTGGACCAGCCCTTGTGGGTCTTACCATGATTGCAAGATGCCCTTCATGATCAAGAAACTTTGAAAAAATAAAGGTTTGTTACTTACAGGACTTGGAAATTACACAGCACACCGGGGGCCACCCAGCCAGCTTGCTGGGGGAGAGAGAGAGTGCACGAGCCTAGGGTTCTGCTTTTGTTGGGGTCCAGGGTGGGGGGCTTAGGGCTTCCGGGGCTCACTCTTAACTGGTGAATTTAAAACATAAGAGCGGGAATTTAAAGGACGGGAAGAGGAAAAAAAAAAGTGGTCTAAATGGCCAGCTTTTGGCAATCTCAAAGTCTAAAACAAAGGAGGCTCAGCACGGAGGCAACTAGCCGGGCTTTTCATTTATTCGAGATCGCAAGCTTTTTGAAGTGGATGTCTAGGCAATCAAAGCGTCAATCAGGCACTTGCATTACACAAAGAAAAACCAACCGTCTGGGCTTTCAGGGCACCCACTGAAGCCATAAATCCCATCCTTGTTTGAGGTCACTGCCATTTCTGGCATCTTGGAACTTAGAAAGGATTGGGGAGGTCACTTCCCATTTCTTCTACACTTGAAGAACCTCTTGATCTTGCACTAGTTCCTCTTTCTCTCTGGGCTTTGGGTTCCCAACTCAGCTCCAGAGACAACCCCCACTCCCGTGCGCCCGTGCAGTGGGGGGAGGGAGGGGGTGGATCAGGTGACTTAGGACCCTCGTAGATCCGGCTCTGCACTCAGGCTGGCCTTGGTGCTTTCCCTTCCTCGTTACTCCTTGATTGTGGACCGGTTCACACAGACCTCAATTTCCCTGTGTCTCTAGTCGTCACACGTCTGGGAGCAAAGCTGGGAATTGCTTACCAGGAAAGAGCTTCTCCCTGTGCCCTCCAGAGAGAGGGGAGGGTTTCTGAGAGCCTTGGGCAGCTGGCCTGACCCTACCTCACTGCTGCGTCTCTGCCACAGGTCGAGTTTGCTGTCAGCCGGGTCCAGATGAATTTTCTGCACTTGCTAAGCTCTGAGGTGACACAGCACATCACCATTCACTGCCTTAACATGACCGTGTGGCAGGAGGGCACTGGGCAGAGCCCGGCCAAGCGGGCTGTGCGCTTCCGGGCCTGGAATGGGCAGATCTTTGAAGCAGGGGGTCAATTCCGGCCAGAAGTATCAATGGATGGCTGCAAGGTAACCCTTGGGGCCCCTCGCAGGCCTCTCGTGCATGGACAAGTTGAAAAGATGTGTTTTTATTACAAAATAGTATATAAGAGTTAGTGTAATACATACTGGTATATTACATTAGTATATTAGTATCATATATGGTATTAGTATAAGATTAGTAAATACATATCATTTTTATCTTTGCGTAATAATTTTATTATAACAGTTTCATAAAATCCTTTTTATTCCCTATCCTTTCTGGGAAACTGCTGAGAGAAAAATCCAGCCATAAAAATTCCACAGGCTGATAGACGCTGTACTTACTTGCGAGGCTGCTTGTTAAAGAATGTATTTCTATTCTCTCTACCCCCGTCCTGGCCAGGCTGATTTCTTCTGTTAACATTTTTGGTTATTTTTAAATACCTAAGATTGGGTGGGTTGTTGGTGGAGAGGGAGTCAGAAAGTTGTCCAAAAAACTAGCTTCGCAAGATTGAACAAAACTAGTAATACACAGTGTTAGTGAGGATATGGGGAAACCAACACTCTTGCACAAAGCTATTTGGGAAAAAATTGGTAGAGGCTTTCGGGACAGCAGCTGTATAAATATAGGGATACCTCAGAGATATTGTGGGTTTGGTTGCAGACCCGTGCAATAACGTGAATATTGCAATAAAATAAGCCTAATTAATTTTTGTGGTTTCCCAGTACATGTAGGAGTTATATTTACATTATACTGTAGTCTATTAAGAGTGTAATAGCATCATGCCTAAAAAAACAATGTCCATATCTTAATTAAAAAATATGCCACGTAATCACAGATCGCAGGCCACCAAAACAAATGTAAAAATGCTGAAAAAGTTTGAAATGTTGTGAGAATTATCAAAATGTGATGCAGAGACGCAAAGTGAGCAAATGCTGTTGGAACAATGGCACTGACAGACTTGCTCGATGCAGGGTTGCCACTAACTTTCACTTTATCAAAAACACAGCATCTGGGAAGGTCTGGAAATGTGGTGCAATAAAATGAGGTATGCCCGTATATCCAGCGTATGTGCAAAGCCTCAGAAACGTATGTATCCTTCCATCCAGCTGCTTCTAGAATTTGTTCTAGGGAAACAAGAAGCGGAGAAGTGTGTGCACAGAAGTTTAGGTACAGTGACGTTGGTTACGGCATTCCTCACCACGAGAGACATGGTAGCAGCAGTCGAAGTGGACCAGAACAGGTCTTTGCTTCAGTGAAATGCCATGTGTCCCTTTCAAACGGCGAGAAAGATGATGGGAAGATGCACACGTAGATGATGAGGGTTGTGATGGTTTCGTGTGTACCCCTTTCCTTCTCTCAGGTCCAGGATGGGCGCTGGCATCAGACGCTTTTCACCTTCCGGACCCAGGACCCCCAGCAGCTGCCCATCATCAGCGTGGACAACCTCCCTCCTGCCTCATCAGGGAAGCAGTACCGCCTCGAAGTTGGACCTGCGTGCTTCCTCTGACCTCTGACCTCCTGGCTCCTCTAGGCCTCGAGGGGGAGGGAAGAGGAGGGGACCTAGGGGCAGGTGGGCCCAGGAGGGGCAGCTCACCTGCCCAAGGATCCTTGGGTAGGCCCCAGCTGTTGTCTGCCCGGTAGAAGTGGCCGGGGCGGGGGGAGGGGTGGCAGGGAACTGGGTATCCTTGGGATCAACTGATCCCAGCCCCAAAGACCAACCAAAGAGCCAGCCAGAGCGAGCTGGGCCTGCAAGCTGCCTGAGCCCCGTGGTCTGTCTCCCAGCCCCGCGGCCACCCCCTGTCCTCCCAGCTTCCTGCCCAAAGAGCCCCACGTTCCAGCCAGCTTGAGGGGAGGGGGCATCTCGCCAGCTGGTCCCTGCCAGGGAGCTTTGATGTGCAATATTAGAGAGGAGACATGAAAAAGGAGAAAAGGAAAGAAAGTTAAGTATATATATTTTATTTAAACAAACACAAAGAAGGTGCATTACTATTTCTTCACCTGGGAAAGAGGTGAGAGAAGAACCAGCCAGAGGGTGGGAAGCGGTGGAGGCCGGGAGGGGGTGGCGCGACCCTCGGGGCTGGGGTGCCCGTGCTAGCTACCTCCCACTGTGAAATCGCTGGTGCTCGCAACTGTCTCGTAGTGTATGTGATTTTTTTAAGGAAAAAAAAAAAGCCTATTTAAGATTCTGAAGGTGCTACCATTTTTGCCACAGACTTTGAAGAACCATTTTGATGTGGGGTATCATCCACATTTTGCTCTCTCCTCCAAATGACAAAGTTGGGGGAATCTAAAAATGTTCCTAGTATCACCCTTGTGCTCATCAGGTAATCGACTAAGTGGGGGGAGGGGAAGGAAAAAGGAAAAAAAAATGCAAAGCCAAAAAAAAAAAAAAAAACCTGCCAGAAACAGAAGCAGAAAGATTTACCTTTTAATTTATGGACTTTGAAATATTTGTCCTCTTAAGGCCCGAGGAGGCCTGAGCATGAAGGGTTTTGGCCTTGGCCTGTGATGGCCCTGGAGGGAAATTAGGCTTATCTTGGAAGGTGAGATCTAGACTGGAGAGTCGTGGGAGAAGCCTTGACCTTGAAGAAACCAGTTGTAAGACCGATGTTGGGTCAGTGCTGGCCTTGGAGGTGGAATATCAGTTTGGAGCCATCTTACGAGGCCCCATACCATTCCCTAAGATCCTCCCTTCCAGGAGCTTGTCCCTTCCAAGATGTGGCCATCACTCTTGCTTTTCCATTGTCATTAAATTCTCTAGAAACCTGGCGTCATTAGCTCCAAGTGTAAATGTGGGCTGAGGAGAAAGAAGAATTATGGGGATCTCGGGGTTCAGTGTGATGGGGAGATTCAGTGTCATCTGAGTTGTCCTCTATCAGAGAACCAATCAGCACCCAGGTTGGATTTTGAGGTTATTTTAAGTATGGAATTATTTTTCTAGAAGGGGAAATTTTATGTGAACGTCTATTTGTGTCTTTTTTTTTTTTTTTTCCTAAAGTTGTGTCTCTTTGGGAATTGGATTTGATTTTTATTATTTAATACCTCAGTCCGGCCCACCTACCCCCACCAGACACTTCCTGTACTCCTCGCCCTCCCGCCCCAGCAAAGATGCTCCCCACGGAAGTGTGTTGTAGCAGCTCGGGCCTCATCTCAGCCCTCGCTAACCCCCCCACCCCCCGCCAGTCTCCACCTGGCCTCTGTCTCGTTCCTGGGATTTTCTGCTGTCCTCGTTTATGTCTGTCCACATGTCAGTGTGTTAAAACCCCAGTGGGTTCTGTTTCTCCTTTTCCCTTCTGGATTTTAAATAAATATTTAAAACTGAGGCAATGGAATGACGCATCTGTGGCTGTGTGTTTTTGAAAAGCCCGGAGGGAGGTTTCTGGCCTGGCTGGGGAGAAAAGATGCTCAGAGGATGCTACTTCCCCCGAAGGAGGTGGGTAGCGGGGGAGATACAGCACCAGAGCAGGGGGAGGGGAGTGAGTGCTAAAAGTGAGGGGGTCCAGGTCCCATGGCGTATCCGTTTCTTAGGGTTGCTGGTAACAGTACCACAAACCTGGAGGCTTAAAACAGCAGAAAATGCATTCTCTCCCAGTTCTGGAGGCTGGAAGTCTGAAATCCAAGTGGTGGCAGCTCCACCATCCCTCTGATGCTTCTAGGAGAGAGTCCTTACCTCGGTCAGCTTCTGGTGGCCCCAGGCGTTCCTCAGCTTCTAGCTGGAGCACCGTAGTCGCTCTGCCTGTGGAATCACATGACCTTCTTTCTCCCCATGCGGCTCCATGTTCCCATCTTTTTGTAAGGACACCAGTCCCTATCGGACGAAGACCTACCCTAATGAGCCCATCTTGACTTGATTATGTCTGCAAAGACCCTATTTCCATGTAAGGCCACATTCACAGGTAATAAGCTTAGGACTTCGGCATATCTTTTTGGGGGGACACAATGCAACCCATGACACACAGGGAGGAGGTATGTTGAGGTTAACATGAGCAATTCCCTTTTTTTTTTTTTTTTAGCGTAGTAACATAAAAGACTTAACCATTCATGACATTTAGTATATTCACCATGTACAACCTGTGCAACCATCTAGTTCCAGAACATTCTCAGCACCCCAAAAGGAAACTCCATACCTGTGAAGCAGTCACTCCCCATTCCCCTCTGCCCAAGCCACTGAAAAAGCACTAACCTGCTTTCCAACTTCGCCTGCTGTGGATATTTCACATCAAAAAGAATCCTATTTCAGATCAACAGAATCCTGTTTTGCAGATGGGAAAGTTCAGTCAATTTAACGTCTGTTCCCAGCGCCACCCCCCGCAACCAAGAAAGCTCACAATATATGACCTTCTTTCGGGTAGCGTGATTTCAAGGTTCATCCTTTCGGTATGTACCCATACAGTACTTCACTCCATTTTATGACTCGATAATGTCTATATGGATGTACCACATTTTGATTATCCATTCATCCACTGATGGACGTTTGGCTTGTTTCCATTTGGAGGAGCTTGTGGACAGTGCTTCAATATGAGCATTTCTTACCTCTGAGATTCTTGAGAGAGGCCAGGACAGCACCTGCCTGGGAGGGAGTGAGAATCTGAGAGATCGTTAGCCAGATTTAGCAAATACATATACGGGACCATCCAGAGAAATGTGCCTTTCAGATACATAATAGCAATATTTTAGCATAGGTATGCCCCCATGCGATACCTGAGACAGGTTAGGACATATTTATACCTGCGGGACCTGGCATGTGTATCTCCTGGCCCTTGGTTTGGAGTTAGTCCTTTCTGAGCTTGGTCCTCCCTCCCTGGGACCTTGCATAAACCAGAGCTTTCTTTTCTGCCCTTCTCCCCTAGGAGAAAGAACAAATCATAAGCAGTTGAATTCATAGCTGGAATTTTCTTTAGTTTTAAAACTTTGCTATAAGTTTCCAGGTTTTCCAGGCCACCAGTGCACATGCAGCCGGGTTCCCCCCTCCCCTCCGCACCCTGGTATCTGCCTCAGGCAGCGAGCACCAGGTGGACTTGGAGAGTCGCGTCCGCAGAGCCCAGAATTCGTGGTCTGGAAGGGCTTGGCGATTCCCACGGCCCAGATACACCCTGTCATTTTACGCAGAAGGTAACTAAAGCCCAGGGAAATGCCTGAGCTCACCTGCCGAGGCCAGGGCGAAGCCTCTATTCAAACCCAAGACTGCTGACAGGTGGGTCTCACTGTAGCCGCCTGGGATTAGCAGAGCCAGCAGCCCCTGGGAAGTGGGTACAAATGCACATTTTCAGCCCCAACCTAAACCTACTGAATCACAAACTCCCAGGTTGGGGCCCAGCGATCGACGTTTTATTAAGCCTCCCTGGAGATTCTAGTGCATGCTCAAGTCCCAAGAATTGGGACCCTCTGCTATTCCCTGAATCTGGAAAACGGTTTCCAAAACTGGGGTGGGGGGAACCTTGGGAATGAGATAAGAATGTTCTTTTTATTTCTTTGAAAATGAATCAGAAATGAAACCGAGACAGAATGGCCTGCTTCAACTGAATCATTTCCTGAGGTCCACCATGTACTGTCACCCCCAGAGAGTTTGCCCCGCTGTTGGATCCCACTTCCAGAGGGGAAGGTCCGGTCACTCAGACGTCTCTGTCCCCGCAGGAAGCTCTGTGAGGGCAGGGGATGGATCTGTCCTCTGCTGTTGTCGGGGAATACAGCATGTTGGAGGCACTCAACTTGTTCAACCAGGCTCATTGGAACGTTTCCTTGACGAGCATGCCTCAGCAGCCCCTTCCCTGTGCCAAGCCTCCCGTGGGCACCGGAGTTCCAGGGACAGGTCTGACAAGGGTGTCTGAGGGGCTCTGAGTCTGGCGGAGGCCGCTGGAGGAGTTGGACCTTGTGTGGTTAAGGGTTAAGAAAGCCGGGAGCAGGAGGCCAGACTGGGTGGGCTGGGGGTGCGGGCGGCAAAAAGGAGAGCGTGGCTGATGCGGTCTCAACACAGGAGGATAGTCGGGGGGGACACCTTGTATTAACCAGGGTCTCCAAAGAAACAGAACCAGTAGGATGGGTGTGTGTGTGTGTGTGTGTGTGTGTGTGTGTGTGTGTGTGTGTAAAGAGATGTACTATAAGGAATTGGATCACATGATTGTGATTGCTGGCAAGTCCCAAGATTTGCAGAGGGAGTTGGCCCATTCAAGACCTAGGAGAGCGGGTGGTATCATTCCAGTATAAAGCCTGGCAGGCTGGGGAGCCAGGAAGAACCAATGTTTCAGTTCATGCCTAAAGGCAGGAAAAGACTGATGCCCATCTCCACCAGTCAGGCGGGAGGAATTCTCTCTTACTCAGACTTTCAATGCTATTCAGGCCTTGGACAGATTAGACGAGGCCCACCCACACTTGGCAGGCAGGAGGCAATCTCTTTTACCCAGGTTATCCATGCAAATGTTAGTCTCATCTAAAAACACCCGCACGGCCACGCCCAGCATGTTTGACCAAATACCTGGGTACCCCATGGCCCAGTTAACTTGACACATGAAATTAACCATCCCGAGGCTATCAGTGATAGAGGATGAATGACGACAGTCTGCCAGGTGAGGAGGGACACCGGGAGGAGAGGAAGTAGCACCTGCCAAGGCTGGGAAGTAAAGGGAGCATTTGAACTCGCTGTTCAAAATGCTGCCGCAGGGTAGGATGTGCGGAGCCCCAGGGTCCTGGGCTGGGCTTAGACAAGCCGCAGGTTGCACAGCAGAGTGGGGTTCAGCTCGCTTGGCCGAGTTGGGTTTGAGCGGCAGCAGGGCCCCGTGGAGCTGTCCAGGAGGCAGCCAGCTAGGCTGGAGGATAGGAAAAAGGTCTGTGCCACGGTCGGAGCTGTGCAGGCGTCAGGAGCCTCTGCGGGGCTCTGAGGACCCGGGAGGGGGTGAGAGAGTCGGGAGGAAGGTTCCAAGAGGGGAAGAGAAGGATGGCTATGTGAAAACCGTGACCCTCACAACTCTCAGTTGGCATTCCAGGAGGGCCTCTGGGAGCTGGCCAGTGCGGCCTCCGACGCTGGGCCAACTCCTTCCCAGCAGGGGCAGGTAGGAGGTTGTTGGGGAGCCAGGAGGCAGCTCTTCGGGGGCCGGCAGCGGCTGTGCTTCCCAGTCGCCCATTGCACAACTGAGTGTTAGGAAACAGCCAGAGTGGACTTCCCAGTGGGGCCAATCCTGTGTTTGCTCTGTCCACAATGAATCAAGCCCCCGCCACGGACAGTCACATTCCACCAGTGACCAGCCGCCCCATGCTGGGAAAAGCGCAGAGGCGCAAACAAGAAGGGGAGAGGCCGGCAGGTGGATTCCAGTCCCAGCTTCCTGACGGGGACATGGTCTTAGGTGGCTCATTCCTTCTCTCTGGGCCTCAGTCTCTCCCTCTACAAAATGGGGGAGCGAAGGCCGTCCCTGCTGGCTACCACAGACGGAGCTCTTCTTCTGTAATAGCAGGGCGAATCGTCTGACACTGAATGATATTCAACTGCTCTATGAAAATGCAGTTCCGTATGGTTCAACCCAGTACTTAGCACAGCACCTTTCAAAATAATAGCAGCTACGGTGTCTTGCACACTTATTGTGACCAGGAGCCCTAGTGAGTGTGATATGTTTTTATCTCATGCACAACCCTCTTGAGACACGTGTTACTACACCAGCTCTTCAGATGAGGGAAGCCAAGTCCAAAGAGGTTACATAAGTTGGCCAAGATCACAAAACAGGATTTGAACATGAGCAAATCTTTTTGAGTGTTTCCTCAGCCCAGACACAAAGTTCCTGATTAGGATCATTGGCTCTGCCAATGTATTCTTTGTGGCCGTTCATGCAGAAGACCACAAATTAGTCGTCAGACACAGAGCTCGGCCCTGCCCTCGATGGAGAAACACGTACAAAGTGGCTTTCTCGGAAGACGGATCCTTTCAAATGGGTTCAGTCCCCTGATGATCTAAACCTCGCCTTTCACCTGACTGCTCTGAGCTATTTGTTTCCCTCTCCATCCAATGGGGAAAGTACCCTGTTTTCTTGAACCTCCTATCGACATATTTTTGCATTTTGATGTCTTTAGATGTGGGATGTAACCTGCTATCCCAGAAGTATTCATGTAACGCAGGAGTCTGTTTTTTCTCCCTATCCCAGCTCGACATTAAACCGATGGTGATGGTTCTTATGGCTGGTGGACTCTTAGAAACAAGTGTGTCTCCTTTAACAAGCACCTTACAAACGTGAACTGATTTAATCCGCTTAGTAACCTGATAAAGTAGCTACTCTCTGTGTCCCCATTTTATAGATGGGGAAATCGAGGCACAGAGAAGCTAAGTAACTCGCCCAGGGTCACACACACACAGCTTATTAAATAACACAGAAGCACCTCTGTACCTTGGGATCTGGTGCTAGCAAGCAAGTGGTCGAGCCAGGACACTACTTCACCATCCTGCATGACCCCGATTGCTTTCCATTCTATTTCCTGCCAAACTTCTCTTGACATTGGGCCTAGACCGGATGGAGGGACAGGGTAAGGGAGGTCTGTGCAGACGCTCGATCCACAGAGGTACTAAAGCATCCTCGAAATGTAAGAAGTCGGAGAAAATGGTACTGTGTCAGGGCGGGTGCTGAGTGCACTTGAAGGAACCACTTGGAGAGCCTCTTGGGAGGAGAGGGAGACCTCTAGGGGCACCTGAGCGACGGTGAGGACCCCTCACTGCGTCTGAGGAGAGGGGCTCCGTTTACTCACTGTAAGAGAAAGCATTCGTCTCTCTCTCTGTTACTCACCAAACATGGGGCCACCGAATGCAATTCAAGGATAGGGTATCAGAGGGAAGGATTGTTTGCCTGGGGCCTGACCAGCATTGGTTGCGAAGAAGGAGGTTTAGGGCTATGGGTCACTCTTGTGCCAGTACCAGGCACCAGATCCCAAGGTACAGAGGTGCTTCTGTGTTATTTAATAAGCTGTGTGTGTGTGTGTGTGATGTGAGATCCTCTAAAGCTCTGGGCTCTGGGCAGAAGCCCCGATGGCCCAGGGTAATGGCGGTGTTCTCTCCATGTAACCATCAGCTTCCCCTTGCGATAAGCAATGTCTCTAATCTGTCCGCAGTCCCATTGTCTCACACCGGGACCACTGCGACAGCCTCCGACCCCTCTCCCAAGCCGGTCCCCTACCCTGACTGCCCCCGCATCTTCCCCACTGCAGACAGAGGGATCCTTGTAAAGAGCAAATCTGACTATTTATCTCCCACCCCACTTAAAATCTGTCCATGTCCCCTAATACCTGCAGGGTCCACTACAAACTCCCCAGCCCGGCTTCTGTGCCCTGCAGGCTCAGTTCCCGCCAACCTCTCCAGCATCGGCCCCCTGTCACTCCCACGCCATCCCACTCCCAGCCCCAGGGACCCCAGGTCCTTCATGCGCCATGCGCTCTCTCCCCTCCACTCTTCCCTGCTGACAAGCTCCGCTCCTTTTCTCAAGACTCAAATTAGAGCAATGCCAATCCAAAACACTAAGTGAGCTGGCAAAAAAAAGAGAGAGAAAAGGGAATTCCACTTCTGACACGGATGTGGAGAAGGAGACTCATCTGTGCCTCGCCAAATTGGCACCACATTAAACAGCGTTCGTGTTTTTTGATTTGTCACGTGTTTTGTCTTCTTTGTTTGGGGAGAAAGTTTTTTCTTTTTTTAAATCAACTTAATTGAGGTATAATTGGCATACAATAAAATGCACACATTTTAGGTTTGCGGTTCAATGAGTTTTCACAAATGTACATTATGCGCATAACCACCCCTGCAGCAGAAATGTGGAGGACTGCCATGGACTTCAGAAAGTGCTCTTACAACCTCTGGCAGGCAGACTGCCCTCCTTGCCCTAGGCAACCACCGGTCTGATTTCTGCCATTCTAGATTCATTTTGGCCGTTCTAGAACTTTCTATAAATGGAACCATACGGTCTGTGCTTGGTTAGGCTGGCTTCTTTTGCTCAGCAGAATGTTTTGGAGATTCATTCATGTTGTCTCATATACCAGTAGTTGGTTCATTTTTGTTGCTAAGTAATATTCCTTTTATGAAAATGTTACAATGTATTTTTCCATTTTCCTGATGCCGGACATTTGAACTGTTTCTAGTTTTTGACTATTTCGAATAATATTGTAGTCTTGTCCATGACATATTTTCCTTTCTCTTGAATGGTAGGGTAATTTTAGAAAGCGATTTGTTCACTTTCTGAAACTTAGCATACCAAGGAAACATCACAATATGAAATGCTATAGGCAATTGTATCTCTAGAAAGCTGGAAAAATAAAATAAAATGCGATGGATATAAAGAGAAGCCATCATTAAGTATGCTGGAATCTAGGAAGAGCACGATAGGGGTATGCGCGTATTAAAATTACAACCATAACTACACGGAAACGTGAAAAATGACTCAAAATCTATGAAATGAATAAGGATATAAAACTGTAAGCATAACATAAGAAGACTTTTTGGAAGTATTTCTTCATAGGGCTAAAGATCTGCCCCGGTCCGGTAGAAATGCTGGCGGGCTGTGGAAGCCTCATCTGCAGTGCTGGGCGCTGTCCAGGCCCGGGCACCTCCTGGTGAGAAAAGAGGCCACCTTCCTGTTCCCCTGGCAGGGGCTGGAACACGTGCATAATTTCTTGTTTTAGACATTGAGCGCTAGTTCAGGTAATACTACATTTACTGGAAATAGACGACGCCTCTTCCGTTTGGAAGCATCCCTGCCTCCGAGGCTGGGTTAGCGCCCCTCTCCCCCAGTGGACTTCTGTTCTCCCATGGCTGTTACCACACTCAGCTGGAATAGAATCCATGTTTTGCCATCCCCTCCCCCCACCCTGGAGCCCTCCTCCACTCCATCCCCGACCCCCGCTGCACCTAGCCTGGGAACTATCTAAATTGCCTTCGGCATTTGATTTATGGTTGGCTCTCACCCAAGTCTGGGTGCTCAGTGGGACAGGAATTGTGTAAAAAAACATGAAGGCTTTTAAAATAAAACAAAACAGGGGCGCTTGGGTGGCCCAGTCAGTTAAGTGTCTGCTTCGGGCTCAGGTCATGATCTCAGCGTCCTGGGATCGAGCCCCACATGGGGCTCCCTGCTCAATGGAGAGCCTGTTTCTCCCTCTCCCCCTCCCACCGTTCTCGCTCTCTCTTGCTCTATCTCAAATAAGTAATCTTTAAAACAAAACAAAACAAAAAAAACCTCCAAAACAAAACGAAACAAAAAAACCCCTCAGAGCTTGCTTAGAGGCCCCGCTGTTGAACTCTACACATGTTTAATAATACCACTCCAGCCCACACCCACCTTGGCTTTGAACAGCGAGACCTTGGGGGCCTAGTAACCCTTCAGCTCAGGGTTCTGAATTAGACCCAGGCTTGGAGGCTTTAGCTACAGCAGGCTTTGGGGGAAGGAGGGAAGGATTTGTGCTAGGCATTTCGCAAGCGCTCTCCGGATTGTGTCACAAGGGGGCTCCAGGGCTCCACCCACAGCTCCTTATAAAGGTCACTCTACCCTCCAGCCACCAGTTCCGCCTGACTGCATGGGCCCTCCATCTAGGCATGGCGCTGTCCTGGGTCCTTGCTGCCCTGAGCCTCCTTCCTCTGCTGGACGCCCAGAGCCCAGTGTGTGCCAACCTCACAGCGATGCCCATCACCAACGCCACCCTGGAGCAGGTGCGCCCCTGGGCCCCTGAGCGCCACGGACAGCGGCCTCCTTCCCTGGGCTTCCCTTTCTCCCGCTGGCTTGCAGTCAGTCCCCTTGCCTGATTCTGCCTGATTCTGCCCTTTTCTCTCCTGGGTCCTGGGGTGACATTCTGACCAGCTTCTGGAGGCATTTTTTTCTGCTTCCAAACTCAGAAGCCTCATTGCAAGGTCCCTCGGAGGGGACATTCTGTCCTGGACAAGGAGGGGCCACCCAGTGGCTGGGGGAGGTGCCTGATCCTCAGAGTGAGCTCCTGCATGTCCCTTCCTCGCCTGGGGCCCCAGTCTCCCTGTGTGCAAAAAGGAGGGGAGCATCTACCTGGCTGGCTAGCAGGGGGATTCAGCTCCTGGCCTCTATCATCAGCTCTTGGCTTCTCCCCAGATCTCTGGCAAGTGGTTTTATATCGCCTCGGCCTTCCGCAAACCGGACTTCAACCAGTCGTCTAGAATGATCCATTCGGCCTTCTTTTACTTTGCTGTCAACCATAGAGATGACACAATACTGCTCACGGAGTACCTAACCATGTAAGACCCTCACAGGCTAGCTCAGCCCCAGCCCCAGGCTTCTGCTCCTAGCTTCTAGAAAGCCTTGAGCAAGTCCCTCCTTCCTCCTGGCTTCAGCCTTTTCATCCATGGAATGGGGAGGGCAGACTAGTTGCCGCCAACCCTTACCCCTCAATGATAGTGACCAATGATTGCCCACTTCTTCTCAACGATCTTCCTGTTTTTCTCCCCTCTTCTGTCTGGCTTTAGTGGGGACCGGTGCATCTATAACTCCAGCAGCTATCTGAAGGTCCAGCGGAAGAATGGGACCTTGTCCAAAATCGGTGAGGACCAGCCCTCAGGCAGGAGGACTGGGCTGTGTCATGGGGACATGTGGGTGGGCCAGCCGAAAGGGGCAGTGCTGGCGCAAAGGCACAGAGAACCCAGGACAGACCCTCTTCCTACGTGTCCGAGGTCCCGGGGCCTGTACGCTGCAGTAATGAGTAATACCTGCCCACAGATTTGAGCTCTATGTGCCAGGCACTGTTCGAAGCACTGGAATTAACTCACTTAAGACTCATAAACAACCGTAGGAGGACATGACAGTGATTGGCTGAGGAAACAGAGAAACAGAGATGTCAAGTAGTTTCCCTGAAGTCATACAGCCTGTAATTAGCCCTAGAATCAAGCCCAAGGCTGGCAGCAGTCCTGCCTCTCTCAACTGCTCTTTCTCCTTTGGGATCTGAGGCTGGCTGTCTGTGTCAGGTAGGCAACAAGTCCCCTACTGGCCCCACCATCACCCCGGAGAGGGCACATGGTAGGAGCACGGTGGGATTACACCAACAGCCCTGGGCAGCCCTGAGGCTCCTGTCTGGGCCTCACTTTCCTCATCTGGAAAATGGGGACAAAGGCCCTGACAGCCACAGTCCACGTGAGGCTCCCCCGATTCCACATCTCAGCGCAGGGCCTGGCACGCAGTAGGAGCGAGGTCGCGTGGCCCAGGTGACCTCCTGGCCTTCACCGACCGCTGTGGGGCCGTGGGCACACGATCTCCTTGCCTGAGATCGGGACCACTGTGCTGCGTGGTCTCACCCAGAGTTTTTCTTCTCCAGAGTCTGGCACAGAGGTATTTGCCCATCTCCTGCTCACCAAGGATCCCAAGATCTTCATGCTTGCCTTCTCCCTGAAAGACGAGCAGAACAAGGGTCTGTCCTTCTACGGTAAGCACCCCTCCAACGTCCAGCCCACCCAGGCCTCACCCAGCAGACCACCTGCCCCTGCGGCTGGGCCCCCAGAGCCCCCGCCCTCCCCGGCGTCCCAGCTAGGCCCCCCGGGCCTGCTCACCAAGCCCCCTTGCTCCGTCCTGCAGCTGACAAGCCGGAAGTGACCGAGGAGCAAATGAGAGTTTTCCACGAAGCCATCAGGTGCATAGGCATGCAGAAGTCGGAGATCAGTTACACCGATGCAAAAAAGGTGAAGGCCGGGAGGACTAGGCAGTGGCCACTGTCAGGGCCATCCTGCCCGGGGCAGCCCCAGAGGCCCAGAGAGGGAGAGCTACTGGCCACGGGCTGCACAGCAAGGCAGGACATCCTACTTTTAAGCACCTGCCTCACTGCAGGGACAGCTGAGCTCCCTAGAGGCCCAGGTGATGAGGTCCCGGAGGGAGAAGTCCCTGCCAACCAGGGAGGACTGGAAGGGAGGAGGAACAGTGGGGAGAAAGGGTGGCAGTGAGAACTTGACAGAGAAACACACAAGGGTAGTTACCATGGACACCTGCCAGCCGCCGCCCAGATGTCTGACACCCGTGGATGGGGAATCGCTATTGTGCTTTTTAGCATCACCCAAACTGCCCCAAGTCCAGGACCACCACCCCGACTTTTGCTAAAACTGGGAATTACCTATATAATAATCTCCCCAGTGCTCTCCATTCAACCCCTGTTCAGGGTCGTGTCCTATGCAATAATATCTAAAATCACAGGGCTGATGAGCGGGCTACGCTTTTTTGGATATACATGAAATGCTTTATTTTTATTACTTTATTATTATTAAAATAAAAAGGTCTCCGTTGGCCACTCAAGGTCATGTCCCATGACTACCAGTAGCATAAACCCCCTCCCGGCCCCGGTCCCGGGAGCCGCGGGCAAGGACGGGGCACACAGCACCGATGGCCCCCCATCTAGTAGCTGGGGGACAGCCGACAGGCCACATGGCCACCCCGAACCTCAGTTACATCATCCGCACAATGGCTGTGAGGAATCAGATCGACCTAGGGGCTTGGCAAGTCCTCAGTAAACGCCAGTTGTTGGTAAAGGCTCGAGCCCCCATCTGGAGGTGAAGAAGTTGAGGTCAGAGAGGGAAAACGCCTGGCCCAAGGTCCCTGAGCTGGCGCCACAGTCCGCAGCTCACCCCCCCCGCCCCCCACAAGAGCGCCTCCCATCACCGTGCTCTCCTCTCCCGTCTTCCAGGATCTGTGTGGGCCACTGGAGAAGGAGCACAAGGAAGAAAGGCTGAAGGAAAGGGAGGGAGACACAGCACTGGGTTAGGACCTTGGGGACCTTGGGGCCCATCGTCAGCCCTACGCCCACCCTTTGGACATCAGGTTTTTGTCTCAGGGCCATCAATAAAGCTTCTGCATTTGAAACAGGGGTCAGGTGGTCGTTTACTCCTTCCGTCGCTCACCCATTCATGCACGTTGAAGCCTGCCCTGAGCTGAGCCCTGGCTGATCACTGGCTAAGCCCCTGCCCCTGGTGGGAAGAGCCCCCGCTGACCCAGCACAGCTGGGACGATGGTAGGCACACAGTGCTGTGGGAGCCCAGCATGGGGGGAGGTTCCTTCTGCAGTGGAAGTCTGGGAAGGCTTCCTGGAAGGGGCATCTGAACCAGTCTAGAAAGATTTGGAGCTGATAACACCGCTGTTCCAGCTGTAAGCCAAGGATCTGAGAGGATGTGTTTGAGAAACACTGAGGCAGAGAGCCCTGGGAGGAGTTCTGGTGAATGGGGCAGGGATGTAGGACTCTGGCGTGTGGTGGCCAAGCATGAGGGCCCTCACCTCACACATCACCGTGGCCCTCTGGGGAGGCGAGCTGGGAGGGGGCCGGCCCGGGGGCAGAAAGGGTCTGGCAGAGGCAGCTGTGAGCATCCTGGCAAGACGGGGGAGCCTGGGCAGGGGCAGGCCGGGGCGAGGCAGAGGGGCTGTGTGTCTCCAGGGAGTGTCCTCGGGGTGCCCATCTGACGCCCACAAGGATAAACCGAGGGGTGAGTTTGGCCCCTAGAAACCAGCCACCTTGCAAATATGCTTGGAGCCCTGGAGATGGGGCCATGTCGGAGGCAAGCCCACGTAGAGGCACGAAGACAACTGAGCCCCCGAACCCAGGAGCTCAGCAAGAAAGGCCGGCTTCCTTCCACGCCCGCCGGCTCTGTGAGTTACCGGCACGGGAGGGAAGCAGCACCACTCAGGTGCCAGAAGAGTTGGGGCCACGTTGTCCAGGCAATTCGGTGCATGAGCGGCCTACGCCATCCAGAGTGACAGGGCCGTAACCCTGTCTCACACGCCACCACCCTCCCAAGAGCCGGGCGGCACGGAGCCCAGACTGCAGCATGCTTGGCTCACAGCGGGAGCCACGCGGCGCCCAGGCCACTGAGGCTGGGGACACGGCGCTGGCCCCCCCCCCCCCCGCGCCCTTGGCTCCCCCTTCCCGCCCTCATCCTGCCACCCAGGGCAGGGTGGACCCGGATGCTCAGAGCCTACAAGAAATCTCTGCCATTTCCAACTCCACTGAGAAGGACCCACGGGAAAATGAAATCGCCATGGGGCCTGGTGGGCAGGGAGCAGCAAGTGTGAGGCGCGGGGAGGGGGCTGGAGAGAAAGCCCAGGGCAGGCCAGAGGGCGGCAGGGAGAAAGGCTCACGAAGGACAGCACAGTAACGAAGAAAACAGACTTCGGAGTCAGACGTCGTGAGGCGGTGCGGACAGCCGTCTGGAACCTCCGTCTCTCGTCCACGAAGGGGGGACGTGGAGGGGGCCTGGAGGGCTGGCGTGCACCCTGTGCAGCCTGCCGTGCTGAGTACCAAGCTCAAGGATTGGCGTCTAGTGGGTGCTCAGTAAAGTGTGGCTGCTGTTGCTGTTCGCTACTAAACCGAGCACCGGAAAGAGAGTCCAGGCTCGTGCTTTGGCGGACAGCGATCTGCTGTGTGTCTCCTAACGGCTCTGAACTCGGTAAGGAGGGGCTTGTCGTAAGGTCTAGGGTCCTGAGACAGGCCTGGGGGAAGGTTGGAGAAACAGAAGCCACCACAGGAAGGCAGGCAGGCAGAGTCTGGAAACGGGCACGGCCCCCGCGGGCAGGGTTCGGTTCCTCATTGACTCTTCCACCCCACAAATTTGAGTTAAGAAACCGTAAGTCCATGACACACACCACAGATGTGGGCAGCTTTGGGGAATGTTTTCTTTTTTTTTTTTTCTTTTCTTCTTTTTTTTTAAAAAGGATCAATATTCATTCTTCTTCATTTGCCCTCATAACGAAAATAGATTTTTAAACACGCCAAATATACAAATATTACTGATGCATACACATTCCAGAAAAGCTGAGGTACTCGCTGTTACGAGGTGGGGAACAGGAGATGGGCTGGCCCCCCTGGCTGCGGAGTGGGGCCTGGCAGGTAGCTGGCCACTAGGCAAATTCCACAGGGATCCCAGGACAGAGTTGGGGGCGCTGGGATGTGGTACAGAGAGGGACCACGGTGGACAGCTTCCTAGGCCCTCCCCGGGGGGGTCTCCCTTCCCAGCAGGCCCATGGGAAAGGCCTCTCCAGCCACGGAGAAGCTGAGTGCACGTCATCCTGGGGCCCCGGCCTCTTGACATTTCAGTGGCCCCGAAGTGCCCTTCCGACCAGCAGTCACTAGGAGGAAAGTGCCCGGTCATGTCCTTCCCAGAGATGCCGCCTCTGCAGGGGCCGGTCACGGGTGAGGAGACACGTTTGCACCAGAGACCCCGGCCCTAGCCCTTCTTATTTGGCCTTGTAGGTTGGCTCTACGACCAGGAAAACTCTGTTTAAAAAAACAAAAATCTGTCCATCTGTATAGGAAATACATATTAGCCAGAGGTGGACAGTGCAGGACCAGGAGACCCCCCAGAGACTGCATCTGGGCAGAAGATGGCCTCGGTCCCAGCACTTCCTGAGAGGCTGGGCCCCCGGGAAGTTCCTTCTCTTGATGACCAGGCCAACAGCCCTTGCGCTTTGAAGACACTGAGCAGGTGGGCCCTGTGCTAGAAGGAGACCTCTCAGGAGGGGCCTACGGGGCCTTCAGGAGTGGCTCCAGCCGACTCCTGGCCCGGGGGACAGCAGCAGGCTGCCTGCCCACCTGCCCCCACCAGCTGGCTCTGAGTCTCCAGTGAAGTCAGAAGAGGCAGGAGCCCCGCAGGCTCCGGGCCTGGCGCAGGTCGGCAGACAGGGAGCGGCTCATGTGCTTGGTGGTAGAGCGGATGCTCTCGGCAGCCTGCACGGCTTGGGTCAGGGCCTTGTTGAGCTCCTCCAGGTCCTCCAGGTCCAGCTGGATGGAGTGCCGGTGGCCCCCGGCCGGTCGGGAGGGGGCCGTGGGGGGCCACTCGGCGGGGGCCGGGTGGGCCAAGGAAGCGGAGGTAGGTCCTGGAGGCACGTAATACCTGAGGAGAGAGGGAGCTGCGTTCATGGACCGCAGAGAGCCCTGAGCAGAGCACCAGGTCTGGAATGCACTCCGTTCTAAGCCCCAGCTGGGCCCCTGGCCCCTACTCTCAGAGGCTTAGTGTCCCCACCTCTCAAATACGACTAATAAACAGCTACTTCAAGGGATGCGGTGGAAGGGTGAAGGATGAGAAACGGGAGTGCCTGGCCCAGAGCAGGTGCTCAGAAATGGTTAGTTCAGTCTCCCCGTGCACTCAGGAAGTATTTTTCTGTCCTGTACTATGTGCCAGCCCCTGTGCCTGGTCCTGGGGTTACACTGCTGACCCGCTGTCTTCTTGCGGCTTCTAACCTGAGAGCCAGATCGCAGGGACCACCCCAGGCTCTATAGCAAACCCCCTTCACCGGAGAGGCAATACAGGGTCCATTGGCCAAGTATGGCCCAGTGGAGACACGGGATAGTAATTAGGATTCTGTAAGACTGGGAGGGTCTGGTTTCACTCATCCGGGGCGGCAGTGGGACGGTGTCCTTCCCGGCCTGGCCCTACAGGAAGGTGGGGCGTCATTTAAAGTGCTGGGGAGCATGGCATAGGAGCCATGAGCTGAAGCAGGGATTTCTCCAAGGAGGGACTACAGCGTCACCAAGTGGCAAGGGACAGGAAGAGGGTGCGGCCCCTGTGTCCTGGGAGAAAGTGAGTGGAGGAGAGAGGGGGACAAAGGGTTTGGCCTAAATGAAGCTGGGATAAGGTTAGGAGGACTCAGCCGGAGCCTGTCACTGGCGTCTTGCTTGGCAAACTCTAACTCTGATCTTATTCCCGACCCTCCCTTTCTTCTGAGCCACATTAGTGAACAGTGGGCGGGAGGGGGGGCGGGGGGAGCTTTGCTAGGAGGCTTTGCTAGGAGCAGAACACACGGCTCGCCAAAGAAGATCCACAAATGGACCACAAGCACATGAAAAGACGTTCAACGTCATCGGCCATCAGGGAACCGCAGATCAAAGCCACATGACATGCTGTGCCATGCACTTGGCCACCACTGGAGGACTGAAGTCCAAAGACAGATGTTAGTGAGGAGCTGGAGAATCAGAAGGCTCCTACACCGCTGGTGGGAAGGTACAATGGTGCAAGCACTTTGGGAAACAGTCCAGCAGCTCCTCAAACAGTTAAACGCAGTGCCTAGCCCAGAGCCGTCAACCGCATCCTGGGTCCCGGGTGCCAGGCTCCGAGCTAAGTGTTTTCCCTGCCAGCACTTAGCTTATTTGGTGGGTACCGTTACACCTATTTTAGGGGTGAGCAAGAGAAGCTCAGAGAGGCTAAGTGATGGAGGAGGCCTGCCCCCAAATCCTAGCCATTCCGCGGGGCCGGCCGAAGGACCCCGGCCAAGGGACTTCACCCTTCAAGGACTGTCCCCCCACCTAAAAGAGCCACACTTAGCCAACTCCCAGGATAGATCCAATTGGAACATTCAGTGAGTGAAAAAGCTGTGTACGCTGCCTGCCCACTCGGAGGGCGTCTGTAACTGTCAGCTCAGACTCAGAGATCTGCAAGGGGCCGCACCGTGCTCACTCCCAGAGCTAATTAATTAGCACCCAATAGATGCCAATACACACCATCTGAACCCAATGAATAGGCTTCTTGAGTCCAATTCCCTCCTTCGCGGACTATCTGGTCTAACTACTGCGTTGCCACACCACCCTGCCTTCTAATAATTGGATGACCAGCTTGGCCGCAAAGTGATTCAGAATTCCCCCTAAGGCAGAAGCTTCAACACCCTCCTCTCCACCAAAACCAAACCAACCCAGAAAACCCTTCTAGCTACAAAGCCTTTGGGGGCAGGGGCTATAAGGCAGATGGCCAGCAGGTGGCAGCACAGGCCCATAAGCTTTCTCAAGGGCGCCCTGGCCTGCCATTGAGCATGCTCAGTCCCGCTGATGGCTGCTGGAGAAAGTCGAGGGCATCATCAGCCCAAACTCCAGGAGCATTGCAAGTACTATGGTTCCTGGACAGCTTCTAGGTATTGTGGGCTTTCCATGCATTAGTTCATTTAATCCTTACCACAACCCATTTCGCAGAGTAGAAAAATGAGGCACAGACTGGGAACAAAGTGGGCCCCCTGCCCAAGGTTATATGGCTTCCACCGGCCAGGTCTGCCGGGCACTACAGCTCAGGGCCTACCCCCTTCCCTATGGCCTGGCCAGGGCCGGGGACAGCAACCTGGTTAGGTCAGTCCACAGATCTGAGCCTGGAAGGATATGGAACAGGCTCAGAAGCATAAAGACCCAAGCCTACCTTGGGCACTCAGAGCCTCTTCCCGGGCCACCAAATTCCAGGCCAAACCTCTCCTGCCCAGTGAGTGTGAGCAGAGGCAGGTGTCCCCAGCCCCTCTGCTGGGGCCTGAGCACGCAGTACGGCCTCTCGGAGCTGATGGAGCAGAATGTTCCCAGAGTCAGCTGAAGGCAGCAAGACACCACACTGCAGGCCAGAGTCCTTACGGGGCACAGGGACTGGATGGCACCTGGGGCCTCTGATCCCACCGAGCGCCAGCCCCACAGTGACTCTGGCCTCTGCTGCTGCAGACGCAGGCTTCTGACGCAGAAAACTCCCGACAGACTCATTTTCCACTGAGGGAAACTGAGGCATAGAACTAGCTGGTGATAGTCGGGACAAGATGACAGATCTAATTTCAGGGTCCAGGGTTTTTTTCCCCCTGCACCATCCTGTTGAAGCCACCTTTACTCACTTACCTTCTTCCTAAGGACAGCGCCGCCCCGTAGCACTCTGTGGGCTGTGAGGACAAGGCCGCCCGACCATGTGCTGGCACTGCCCTACGCATTCCGCACACATCTCCCGTGCGTCTGGCCACGTGCCTCATTTAATCCTTGCAGAACCAGCCCTGCTCGAGACTATTGCCCCATTTACCAGATGGGGAAACTGGGGCTCAGAGAGGCAGTAGCTTTACTGAGGCCACGGCAGCAGGAAGGGCAGACGGGATTCCAGGGCAGCTCGGGGTCCACACCCTGAACCACTTCTGCCTCAACGGCTCAAGTCTTTTCTCTTTTCTCTCTTGCAGGTGTTCTATCCAAATTCCCGGAAAAAGGAAGTGCTCCTCCTGCTATAGTCCTGACCGGGTCTCCTCTGAGCTCAAGGCCCTCAGACACAAGGAAAATCTGAGAGTCCATCACAGCCAAGAGGGGCCAAAGGACCCATGACAACAGAGTGGCATCTTGTGGCCTCCTAAACAGGATCCCAGAACAGAAGAAGTTCCGGTAAAAACTGAAGAAACCTGAATAAACTGTGAGCTTTAGTTAATAATAATGTATTAGTATTGGCTCACTGTCGAATGGGCCATATTAATGTAAGATGTTAAGAATGAGGGGAAACTGTGTGTGTGTGTGTGTGTGTGTCTGTGTGTGTAGGGGAACTCCCTGTACTATCTGCTCCATTTCTCGGTACATCTAAAACTGTTCTAAAAAATAAAGCCTATTACAATACAGTGAGTGTGCAATTAGTTGCTTGCCGGGAAGACCCACAAGGAACTGGGAAGCTTCCCATGCGCTCTCCCTGTGAGCTCCTAGAGCACAAGGCCCTCTGTGAGCTCCTTCACGGCGGGGCCCCCGGAGCCAGGCCTCTCCCTGGTAGGCAGGGAGGATTCGGGGTTTGTTGAGTGACTGCGCGAGTGTTCGGCCTGTTCTGCACATCATGCACGTGGGGGGAACAGAGGGGTACGAGGTGCCCGGGTTCTCAGCGGCCCAACACGGGTCTGACTGGGAATTCTGAAGCGACAGGCAGGGAAGGAGGGAAAGGAAGGTTCTTACACAGTGGCTGATGGATGAGGCATGATGGGAACCGAGGAGATGTAGGTGAGGGCGGCGGGGGCCGGTGCCGGGGGCGCCGCCGCCAGATACCACAGTCCAGGGGGCGGCCGGGCTGGCGACCCCACACGCTTGCTCCGCTGTGTGGGGCTGGGGGCCGTGCGTGCGTTTCTCCTGCTGGCGGCCCTGTCTGGCCCTGGGAGGGAGGGACACCAGAGATGACAGTCTGATCACTTGGGAAAATCTAGCCCAGTACAGGGGTCCCCCCCGGCCCCTGCCCTGTGACAGCTGGATGCTGGGCTGGCCACGCTGGTAGTGCCTGGCTTTGGGAAACAAATCCTCTGCCCGGCTCGCTGCATCCCAGCCTGGGAGAGCCGCCACCACAGCGAAACAGCCCCCGGGGCCCCGAGCCCTCATAAAGGAGAGCTGGGGGTCTGTCTGGGAGAAGAGAGTGAGTGTCTGTCCCTACCCGAGGTGGCTGAGTCCGGGCCATCCATCGCTGGGGGGGGCCCAACTTGACCGCACAGGGCGCATCTCAGGGGATCAGTGGGGGACGGTCCTGGTGGGTCCCTGGTGACAGCACCACCTAGCAGAGGAGGAAGAGATGTCAGGAGAGGATTATGTCTGGATCACTGGGCCTGGAGCCCCAAGCAGACCTCCATCAGCACCGAGCCGCCCTCAGGGGCCACTATGGAGGTGACAAGCTGCCTCTGCTGGGGACCCTGGCAGCGAGGACCAGCATATAATGAACCAGGCCTTCTGCTGAGGGTCTTCATGCATTCTTTTTATCAAATCCAACAAGCCACTGGGCTAGCTACTACATCATTCCCCCGTTTTACAGTCTGGAGAACTGAGGCTCCAAGAGCTTGAATGATTTGCCAGAACGCCCGAGTAGGAAATTGGCAGTGCTCTGTCTGAGCCCAAGCCCGGGCTGTCCCGAATGCGGCCCCTGAACCTATAGTCCTTCCTCCACACTGAGCCAGGCCCATTGTCCAGGTGGGAGGGGCCCACAGTGGCCGCTCAGGCACCAGGGGGTCAGTGGAGGCCTAAGGGAGCAGGAGGAGGGTGGGCCACCCTGTTCTCTTCCCTCGCAAATCTTCAACACCTCACCTGGGTGGCATTCCAGGGTTGCCCCGCTTCTCCTGCAAGCCTCGGCTCAGCTGGAGGCCTCCCACCCGCCGGACTGAGTTCCCGGCTCCCAGCCCCACCTGTGCTCTCCGAGCCCAGCTCAGACCACTGTTTTGTCATTGTGTGCTTAGGCCACGGCCCAGTATGGGAAGGTGCTCAATGAGTGAGTGAGTGAGTGCATGAATGAATGAATGAATGAATGCATCAATGAACGAACGAATGAAGAGGGAGGCCTGCTGGGACTGGGGCAAAGGCAAAGCAACACGATGGTGAAGAGCCAGAGTTCTGGAGTCACAACCACCGGGGTTCAACTCCTGGCTCTAGAACTAATAAGCTGTGTGCCCTTGAGCAAGTTACTTAAACTCTCCGAGCCTCAGTTTCCTCATCTGTAAAATAGACATGATAATAAAGTGGACAAAACCTATTTCATAGGGTGGTGAGGATTACTGTTTGTAAATCCCTTAGCATGAGGCCCTGTGTACAGTGGGAGGCTTAATAGGGACAGCTCCGTCATCATCGTCACTGCGTGGAAGGGCCTTAGGACCATCTCCAAGCCTTTCATTAGGGATGTGAAGCTGGAGGCTCAGAGAAGTTAAGGAACTTGCCTAAGGTCACACAGCAAGTCAGTGGCGGGACTGGGACTAGAACCCAGCGCCCATATTCTCTGGCCGCTGCTCTCCCCCTCACTCCTCCCTGTCGGGTCTGGGGGAAGGGTGAGGGGTGGAAGGAGCATGGAGGGGAGACAGGACAATCATCATGGCCTGGCCACCCCCCACCTCCTCCTCACGACTTGAGGCATGTCCATGGTTTCTCCACGTCATGGTCAAGGAGGGTGGCATCACGTAGCAGCACCTGGAGACGCAGGTGTGAGGGCAGGACACATTGGGAGGGCTGAGGAGCCCCCCTAAAATCCCGCTCCCTTGTCTGTGCCTTGACCCTCCACTGAGCTCAGGGCTGACCCACGTCCTGCGCCCTTTCCTTTTTTTTTTTTTTTAAGATTTTTATTTATTTATTGAACAGAGAGAGACACAACGAGAGAGGGAACACAAGCAGGGGGAGTGGGAGAGGGCGAAGCAGGCTCCCAAGGAGCAGGGAGCCCGATGCGGGGCTCGATCCCAGGACACTGGCATCATGACCTGAGCCGAAGGCAGACGCCCAACGACTGAGCCACCCAGGCATCCCCTGCGCCCTCTCCTAAAGGGAGAAGCCACAGCCTCTGCGCACTGACCACTTCTCCAGGCACCGTCCCTCACCTGAGTCCTGGGTCCCAGCAGGTCGGCAGTGGGGACAGGAGACCGAGCCGCTGCCTCTTGGGGCCGACTTGGGGGTCAGAACATGGTACTCCTGGCCTGGGGAGGAAACCAGACAGTCAGCTCTTTGCACGTTTGGAGAACTGGGGAGGATCAGGGAGGCTCGTCTCCCCTCCCTGACATACAGAAGCATTCAACAAAGCCAAGCCCCGGCCGACCGGGAAGCAGCCCAGGAGGGCAGGATAAGCAAGGACGAGCAGTGCTGCTAACCCCCAGACCCCCACTCGCTGGGGGGGGCCCTGGAATGGCTTGGGCACGGGGTCAGCTGTGTCTTCTCCCTGCGCTCCGAGCAGCTGTGAAATGGGGACTGTCACAGTATGGGTCTCATAGGCGTGTTGGAAGGGCGGAGCGAGTCCATGTCCGTGAGGTGCTCTGCCCGGCGCCCGGCAGATGGAAAGTGCTCCAGGTTGTTAGGAAGTTGGACAGATGCTTGGCTCTTTACCAGACCTGTCATCTGCTGCCTCGTCCCTCCTTGAGTCTCAAGTAAGACCTTCAGGATGTGGCCTGATCGCTTCTGCTTCTCCCTCTGCCTTGTAGGCTTCCCACTTCCTGTTCTGTGTGCGTGACCTCGGGGCCCCTGGACCAGCCCCCTGTTCCCGCTTCTAACACCTCAGCTGTCTGCTCCATGGGGGTGGACACACACCTCTCACTTCCTGCCTTGTCTCCTGCACTCAGCCCTGTGGATCTGAGGTGAAGCGCCCTCCCTCCCAGGCTGGTATAGGTGAGAGCCACGTCTGTAATTTACACACCTATTTTAGTTGCTTATTTGCTATTGTCTGCTGTGCAGTCAGATTCATGAAAGTTGGAGCCACGTCCATATTTGTTTTCATGTCAAGCACTCTGAAAGCCTACTATGTGTCATCTGAAGTCTTACTATGTGCTGGGTGCCTAGTTCATGAGACACAGGGGCTGATGCCCTGGGGAATCAGACCTGAAGGTAGGCCACGGGGAAGTGATTGGGTGTCCACCCCGCTCACAGCAGGTGCTTCATAACCCTCTTTGTGATGGACCAGCCATTAGCTGGGCTCCCCCAGAAGCAAGCGTGCACCCCGGTGCAGGGAGGCATCAGAGACTGTTCGCTGGATGAATGAATGCATTCACAGAGGCAGCACTCCCTGCCGCTCCCTGTGTCAGAGAATTCACAGAAAATGCTAATATTTCAATTGCCTTTGGGGAAATGCAGAAGGCTTCCATGACAGGAGTCCTCCCTGGGGGCCGGGCCACACCCCACAGCCCACCTGTGTACTGGCCCCAGAAGGTGACCCTGTCTGGCCGCCTGGGGCCGCCGACTCCTTTCATTCCGTCCCGAGCTGACTGTGCACTGTCCTCGGTGGTCCGGCTCTTCTCAGAGAACCGCTGGGGGGAGGGTGGCTCAGATTCAGAAGCTGGGGGAGGGGGAAAAGAGGGGCATCAAAGGGGGACAGGGGAGGTGTCGCAGAGCTCAGGGAGTGAGCCAATCCTAAATTCAGGCTCTGGGGCAGAGCTCGGGTTTTAATCCTACATCTGTCCCTTAGTAGCATCAGCCAACACATGTAGACCCGTGACCTCGCGCTAAGCACTTGGCTGGACCAGCCGTGGATGCCACGCATGCACCCTCAAGGCAATCCCAGGACAATCCCGGTAACACTATTATTTACCACTGCACAGTTAGCTGTCCCTTTAACTGCACAGAGCAGGTAAACCACCTGGTCAAGGTCACCCAGCCTGGAAGGAGTGAGGTGGGCTGAACCCCACCCCTTCTCCTTCAGTCAATTTCCCTGCACTTCCAGGCTCTGGTGTCCTCATCTGCAGAATGTGGGTGATATGCCCCACCTTGCAGTGAAGATGGAGATGAGGTCCATACAAGGCCCTTCTAGAAACCCTCGCATGCATGACACAGTGGCTATCACTGGAAGTGCACGGTACTTCAGAGAATATGATGGCCTAAAGACACACAGAACCTTCTCCAGGTTCTGTCTAGGGCTATTGCTATGGTCCCTGAGCGATGGGCTAACAGGCCCAGACTGTAGCCTCGAGGAACCAGTCCAGGCAGTTGTCACTTACTCAGAGACAGCTGGGGCACCTCCCGAGGCACTGAGGAAGACCTGGCTCGCCGCCTTCCTGCGGGCTCCGTTCGCTCCCCACCTCCAGGCTCACCAGACAATCTCTCTGTGGATTTACTAGTGAAAAGGAGACAGAGAGGGATGATGTCAGTGGATGAGGTTTTACGCAGATTTTCAAGATGATCAGCAAGCAAGCCAACCCAGAGGAAAGCATGAAAGTCAAAATCAAAGACTCTGAGTCAGACTCACAGAAAGGGGCTCTGAGCCTCTGTGAGCCCAGTTTCCTCAGCTGTCAAGTGGGGATAGTAACAGCAACCACCTCAGAGGGTTACGGGAAGGATTAATGAGACAATGTCCATAAAAACCTGAACTTAGACGCTCCCATAGAAATACTTAGGAACAAACACTCTGCTGATTTTAGAAGTCATCACAGATGACGAGCTAAGGAGTGAGCAGATGGACATCGTGGGAATGTTTAGCGCTTCACTTGGGTGCTGAGTTCAGGTTACGCATTAGATATTTACGCATCAAATCTTACACAGGAAGAAGCTGTCAGCAGGAGAGGGATGTGAGTTCCCATGTGTGGAGAGCCCCAGAGGCAGCCCAGTCTCCCTTCTGCCACTGGCACCAGGGCACAAGGGCGAGCGTTTTGGGGTCGCCCACCTGCCATAGTGGGAGCCCCAGGAAGTGGAGGCATCTGCCGGCCGGGCCCGGGCCCGGGGGGGGCGGTTGAGGGTGGACGCCGGGTGCGTCGGGCTGCCCTGGGCTGGCTGGTGCAGGCTGTCTTCCAGCCGTAGACGGAGCCGAGACACCTCCTCTTGCAGCTCTCGGATGGCCTGGCTGGGGTGGGGGTGGGACAGAAACAAAGAGAGGATATATAAGGCGCTGGACGGCAGCCACCCCCAGAGGGCCGCCCTGATGCCCCGGGCTTGTCCCTTTCCAGTGGACCCCGGTTCAGCTCTGCCATTAACTGATTCTGGAACTTCCTCGTGCCTCCATTTTTCTTGCTACCTATCTCGACTCTTCTCTGAGTTCACGTCCCTGTGCATTCAGTGGGCAAAGCAGTACGTCCTTCGAGGCTCACCCAGCCCCCCACCCCCACCTCATACACGGCCTCTGAATAGCTCTTCTGAAAAACCAGTGGCACATTGTCAAGACCGAGGGGAGGATGCAGAATCAAGAAGGTATTGCTGAAGGTCCACTTTAAAATCTGCATTTTGACCTGCCTGGGCTGCCCTCCCTTCTTTTTTTTATTTTAAAATATTTATCTATCTATCTATCTATCTATCTATCTATCTATCTATCTATCTAGATATTTGACAGAGTGAGAGAGAGAGAGAGAGAGAGAGCGCGAGAGAGAGAGCGAGAGAGAGCACAAGCAGGGACAGTGACAGGTCAAGGGAGAAGCAAGGAGCCCGATGCGGGACTCGATCCCAGGACCCTGGGATCAGGACCCTAGTCAAAGGCAGATGCTTAACCGACTGCGCCACCCAGGCGCCCCCTGTCCTCCCTTCTTTTCGCTCTGTCTATAGAAATGCTAACTAACAGTCTAGGCCTGGTTCCTTCTCACCCTTACTCAGCCCGTCCTCCCTGGCTTCCCCTGAACATTTCCCACATTGTCTAAGCCTCTCTGTCTGCCGGTGACGGAAGATGCTTGGATGTGAGCAGGATGCAAGCGCAGGGCGCTCTCTGCAAGGCTGCTGTCATCCCTGGAGGACCCCCAAACTTGGCCCAGCCTCCTATTGGCAAGTATCTCAATGAGCTGCTAGATTCCATGGGGTAAGTACTGTTTGCATCTCTCTCCACCCAGCACCGGAATCTCAGAGTCTCATCTGAGAGCCCGGCATTCGGATGCTGGCATCACGGCAGACAAATGTCCCCCAACACCCTGCACAAAAACCCCCTACACACAGAGGGTCAGCATCTGGGCTCGGCATGGCCTGGGCTGCCGAGCCCAGACGCTCCATCTCCTCCTTGGGCAAGCTTCTGCGGCAGGCCTCCCCTCAGCGTTCCTTCTTGCTTGGTGGCCCTGGACTGGAGGGTGAGTGTCTCCTGGAGCCACCTGCAGCTCTCAGCCTGTGTCTGGGGAGTCGAGAGCTCTCTAGCTAGGCCCTGGGCAGTGTATGTCCAGGGCAGCCGGTCTCCTAGCAATCCCCAGGGAGACATTTGTTGGGGTTTCCAAGGCAAATAGCGGGGCGTCTGCAGGAGAGCGAGAGCTCATGTCACCAGTACATGCCTGCATGCGGGACTGGAGGGCACCTCTGGGAGCAGAAGGTGCTAGAGTGAGGGCCCGGGACTCAGAACACTCGCCGGGGTATTGCTGGTCCCCTCTGGGTGTTTCTGTCAGGATCTCAGTCTTGCTGACTTAAATCTTTCATGACCAAGAGCCAACTGGCATTTCAAGTTCATCTTTGTAAAGATGTAAACTGTTTCCCCTGCTGAGTTCCCTATCTCTGTACCAGCATCCAACTGGTTGGCCAGCCAGAAGTCTGACTCATCTGAGACCCTTCTCCCTCCCTGAATGTCCCCAAAAGTTAACCAACTCCCAATTCCTAAGGGCCCAATGCCTAAATGCCTCTTCAAATGCACCCCATTCCCGCTGACTGGCCCCACGGTGTCTGTCCTGGGGGGGGGGGTGGCTTTCTTGGCAGTCTGCCCGCCTTGCCTTTCTCACCCAGCTAGTGGACAGAGAACCTCTAAAACGTGAACCTGACCTCGCCACTCTCGTTTAGAATCCCCCTCATAGGCCTCAGCTGCATCTGTATGCATTCGTGAATATTCAGTGAACTCATTTCTCTGAGCTGAGCTACCATCCAAATCTCTCCCCATGGTGTTCGTGGCCCTCCGAGGCACCCCCAGGTCTCCCGGGCTCCTTCTCCACTGCTCAGCGCTCACCACTGCACCCACGCTCGGGCACCCAGCTAAAATGAACGTTTGGCTCTGCAAAGGTGATGAGCACGCTCTCACCCATAGGCCTTTGCACATGCTGTTTTCCCTGCCAGGAGCTCTTCTGTCTCTCTTCCTTCTGGTCTCAGCTGAGATACCCCTTCCTCCGGGAAGCCCTCCCTGAAGCCTCTGACTGGGCCTGATGTCCCTTGTCTGTGTTCCCAAGGTCCTTGGAGGCTCTGCTGCCCCTGCATTTAGACTGCAGAGTGTGACCATGTGTTTCTTTGCTCATCCTACAAGATGGTGAGCCTTCCTAGGCCAACGACCATCTTGTCCACTATCGTATTCTCAGGAGCTAGTGTATCGCTGACCCATAAGCTTGAATCCCTCTGCCGTCACAGGAGTCCGCAGCAGTACCCTTATTAAACTCTGGTCCAGAAGGGAAACGCCAGCCCTTCACCTGCCCTTGCAAATAGGGAACATGACAGCCCATGACGGCACAGGCCCGGAGGCCTCGGATGGCGTCCCGCAGAGCAGCCTTCCCCATACACTGGGACAGATACCCCAATCCAACAAAGGCATGAGATTGATTATTGGCCAAAAGCAACTCAAAGGAGGGGTAAGAGGGCTGGCCACCCTATTTTCCCACTTCTGTTCAACCAAGCAAGAAGCAATGTTCTTAGTAGAACGGTTGCGCTTGGATTAAAAAGAAGAGAATCGAAGATCAGTCCCTTCTCAGTTCATAAAATGACAGCACCAACTGCTGAAAATCCATCCCTGGGAAGTGTAGACCAGCCTTGGAAGAGAAATATGGTGGGGGGGGGGCAGGGAGCCAGGTCTCAGCACCAGAAAGGTGAACCCCTAGGTCATTTCCCACTGGCTGGGGAAGTGTCCTCAAAGTCCACATCAGTGAGGTCCCACGGAGTGGCCCTGAGTTGGGAGGCAGGACACCTGGGTCCAAGGGGCCCCACATGGCCGCCACCGGCCGTGACTGCTGAGCAAGCCCCAGCCTCTCCTGGGCATCGCTCTCCCGTCCCTGTGCTGGTCCAACTTACTCTCGCCCTGTCCTGGTGAGGAGGAAGGCGCCGGTGCTCTCTGCTGTTCCATGGGGCAGAGTGGCAGCTGCAGGGGTCGGGGTGGGCGGGGGGCTGATTGTGGCTCTGGCGGGGAGCTGTTCGGAAAGCCGCTTTCGCCCCTCGAACTCTGGGCCAGGGACCGCTAGGGAGGCAGAAAGACACCAAGGTGAGTTTGCCCAGAGAGGACCCTCGAAGCATGAATTTCTGAGGGTAGAAGGATATGGGCAAAGTGATAGTGCTGGCTGAGGTCATAATTGAATTTTCCAATGAGGTCACTGGCCCACTGACCTCAGAACCCGAAGATGTGGTTTTTCCTGGGAGCTTGGAGTGCAAAGCTGGGTCTGCAGAGCTGTTTCTACCTATGTTTCCTGCGCTATCCACCATTTCAGTACCAGATGTGGGTCTTCAGGAATATTCCTCTGTAAAGAGCTCATTGCTCCTTCATGTGGACCCCCCCCACAAGCTCTGCCATGCATCACCATGTTGTTCCGGGTCTGACTCCAGAGCCCCCACGCCCCCCTAAAATTATAGCCACACCTTTGCCTGTGGCATGCTTCTGGGGAAAGTGTTCAAAACTTTAGGCTCTCAAAGGCATGAGCGACCAGAGGTTAAATACCACTCACCTGGCCCCTGCATTAAAAACAAGGAGCCCTTGGAACATTAATCAACAATATGGAAAGGAACAGACTATTGATACAGGGAACCATCTAGATGAATCTCCAGAGAAAGGCTAAGTGAAAAAGCCAAACCCAAAAGCGTATCGATCATTCCATTTATAGAACATTCTTAGAATGACAAAATTATAGACATGGAGGACAGAGGGGAGGTCACCAGGCAATAAGGAGGGTGTGGGTGTGACATGTCCATAAAGGGGCAACATGAGGGGTCCTGGTCAAAATCTGCACCATGGTTTTGCAAGATGTTACCACTGGGGGAAACCGGGTGAAGGGCACATGGGATCTCCCTGGATTATTTCTTACAACTACATGTGAATCCATAATTGGTCAACTTTTAATGAAAGTTTAATTTTAAAAGTTTTCAATATGAGCCTTGTAAAGAGCCTTTGGAGGGGTGAGGGGTGATGGGGAGGAGCTGGGGTTCTGATCATGCTGTTTGTCTGGTCTGTGTTCATTTTGTGAAAATTCAATTTATGTTCTTTCCTGTATGTTTGTTTTATTTCACCAAAAAGCTTACGTGCATCTTTTTAAAGGTTTAAAACTGAAATCACAGGATTTAAAGACATGGAGTGTCCATGACACAGTGTTTAGTGAACAAAGGAGGTTATTAAACACTCACAGATATTCTGATCCCATTTCTATTTTAAGCGTATCTAAATAAACACACACACGTTGGCAGAGAGGAGAGCCCACGGGTTCGACACCCAAATGTGGTAGCGATGGTTTCAGCATGTTTTTTTCTCTTTTCCCTATAGTTTCAAATATTCCCGCCATGAACTTGTAGGATATTTTGTATCTTAAAAGGGTAATGCAAGTTTTTTTGTTGGTTTGATTTTTCAGTCCATGCCATCCGGCCACTCCCAGGTTCTGGCCAACCCAGACGCATCCACTCACCCATCTCGGCCACCAGCGCCCGCTCCTCGCAGAGGCTCGGTGCCCTCTGCGGCAAGGGACTGGCCCGGCCCGAGGGTCGCCTCTGGGCTCGGCTCCTGGGTGTGCTGGGCTCCGAGGCTCTTCTGGGGACTGGAGGACCGCTGGTCTGGGGGTGGGAGGCTGCATCCTGGGCCTCAGATGAAGTGAATGGCTGGGCCAATGTTCCTGCAGTGCTGAGGGAGCATGGAGGGAGAGACGTGTTGAGATCGTACAGACAGACCCTGGCCTTCGAACCCTTCTGCATGCTAAGCCAATGAGCTGCTGACCTTTGGGACTTGGCACCCCTGCATGCACAGTGTTTCTAAGGATGCACCCGCATTATACATGCATTTCTGTATAAACTGCTGAGCTGTACACCTGCCTACCCACAGATGCAAGATTATAAAGCTCAAGTTCATTTTTTTTAAATTTTTTTTTAAAGATTTTATTTATTTATTCATGAGAGACACAGAGAGAGAGAGCGAGAGAGAGGCAGAGGGAGAAGCAGGCTCCCAAGGAGCAGGGAGCCCGACGCGGGACTCGATCCCAGGACCCTGGGATCATGACCTGAGCCGAAGGCAGACGCTTAACCATCTGAGCCACCCAGGCACCCCGCTCAAGTTCATTTTTAAGAAAATATACAGAGAAACAGAATTTCTAACCCTTTCTTCCCATGTAGTCCTGGGTTGCCAGGCAGGCCTCCTGGGAGGGGCGGCGGGGGGCGCTGCACCAGTTTTGGAGCCTGTCACTCTACGTGGTGGCTCATCAAGTCCACCCTTCACCCAAATCCCCTCCTCAGACCTTGCCTTGGGGTTCTGTCCCTGTCTCTTCCCAGGCAGTCCCCCTGATTGCCCTTTATCCTTGACTTCTGCTCACCTCGCACCACCCTCCTGTACATGTCGTTCCCCATTCACTCATTCATTCGCTCAACAGATACTTATTCCCCAGGCTGTCGACGACTAGCTGAGTGATGCTGGGCTAGTCACTTTCCCTCTCTGAACCTTGGTGCCCCTCTATCGATAAGAGGGAGGCTAGGAACCCTGGTTGGGGGATGAGGTGAGGGCTCTGAGAACGCACAGACCATCGACCCCGGCTATGGGCTCACGGCACTGATTCCCAGGCTACCCCTCCACGGGAGCGACCCTGATGGGGCAGGGGGGTCCTGGGGTACCTGATGTGGGAGAGCCGGTGCTCCGGGGTTTGGGTGAGGGGCGACACTCTGCTGGTTTCTGAGCCCACAAAGCCACTGTCTGTCTCCGGGGACGCCATCCAGGGCTCCTGAAAGAGGCGGTGTCCCTTTAAGGCTGCGGAATGTGTCTGAGGCAGGCTGGGAAGCCCTTCTCCAGGCCTAGCCTGCGCCTCACATTCCAGAGGCTCCCTGGCTGGGAGGCTGGCCCAGCTCCCAGCAGCCAGGCCCGGGTGTGAGGGTCCTCAGGCGCTCGGGACCAGCACCAGGCCAACAGCAGGGACTCCACACCCAGAGCCTGAGCAAGTCCTGCTTCCCTGAGGCCCTTGAGAGAGATCCTGTGGCAGATGTCCTAAGCTGAGGAAGAGGGGAAGGAGAGGAAGGAGAAAGCCGCCTCCTCGTCTCCTCGTCTCCTCGTGGGGATGGGATTCATACTTCCACACATCTTCCCGCTTGGGCCTGGAAGGCCATGGTCCTGTCAGACGCAGAAATGCCCCGGGCCAATGGATCGGGAGAATCAAATTCATCCAACGTGCACCCCTCTTCCTAATGAAAGGCACGAAGAAGACAAACAGGCGACACAGGTGCCTGCCCTCAACAAGTTCACGGTCTGGTGCAGATTTCTTACTACAAGGTCATTAGGACTACAGAGGGGTGTGTGTGTGTGTGTGTGTGTGTGTGTGTGTGTGTGTGTGTGTGTGTACACATGCATCTATATGCATTGTTCTATGGGAGGATCCGTAGCATAACTGACATTTCCAAGGTGACCTGTGACTCCTGCGACAGTTAAAAATTGCCACCCTAATGTCACCAACAGGCCATGCAGTCAAGGACTGCCCCTCCAGTCTGTGCTCAGCAGGCTCAGAGAAATACAGACATGGGCCACAAGCTCTCAGAGGACAAGCAAGAGCTCCTGGGAGGGGGACAGGGGTAGGGGGACCCACAGCAACAAGGTAGCACTGGGCATAAGCCCTGAATGTTTGGCAGAACTGTAACCGGCAGGGACTGGGAACAGCAGGAATTCTGGAAGGGTATGAGCAAAGGCCCAGGGGCAGAAATCTCCAGGAGCTCCACACCCCATGTGGATGCTTACCTCTAGGTGGGGGCCCCCAGCTTGGTGCAGAGACTTCTGGGGAAGGTGCTCAGAGATGCCACTTCCCTCTAAGCTGGTCAGACTGCTCTGGTGCGATCCTGCAGTCCTGGTGCCCCGAGGGTGGGGTGGCCTGCTCGGGCCTGGAGGGGCTGCCTTGGCTTTGTGCAGGCCCTGGAGGTACCCATCTCTGGCCGTGGATACATGGACGCCTGCTGGCTTTACAGACCCCATCTGCTCCACAGTCTCCCTGGCGGGGAGGAGGAGAGACACACCGACTCTGAGCCCTGGCAGGGGCTGCCCAGCCCTGTCCTGAGAGCCAGACGCCCCTGGCGGCCCACCCTGGTGTTGCCATCTACTATAGCTGTGTGACCTTGGGCAAGGCACCGTCCCTCTCTGAACTTTACTTTTCTCATACGTCAAATGGGGATGGCCAACAAAACCCGCCCAACGCAACACAGCGACAACAGTGTAGAAACAAACTACAGTAGTTTGTTTGTGGAAACAAAGCTACAGTATCATTTCTCAGGCTTCGGGAACTTGGGTCCTCTCCCCCCTACCTCAGCCCCTGCCAGAAACTTCAATCTCCTCAAAGGCTTATGTCATCATTAGAAATAGAAGATCAGTATTTTGTCTGAAAAATAGACACTAACTTTAGACATAAACAGAAGACACATGAAAACAGTATTACTCTATTCTCGACAGATCCTGTCGTCTAGGCTCTGGGCCCAGGCCTGCTCATGTGTTCTGTCTCTTTCTTTCTCTCTTTGTTCTTAAAGGAAGATCAAGAGAGGCACTGAAGACGTAATGGCACTGAAACCTTCTCCTTGATGTACGTGGAAGGTCTGAAACTCAAAAGGAGAATAATAGTATCTAGCACTGCCTGTGTCCTACCGAAACCATGTCCACCCACCCAAATCTCTGCAAGTGCTCTCGGTGGTGTATTTGTCCCACGGCTTGGAGAGACATGAGCAACAGGTCACGAAAGCCATTGCTAAGTGGCAAAGAGCCATCTCGCTCACTAGGACCATTACCACCCCTGTGGTTTCAGAGTTGGTCTGGGGACAAATCGGGGGGCTCATGGACATACTTGAGGGGGGTCCTGTGACTTCTTTTGGCCAGTGCTGGGAGCTGCCTTATGGGGATCCTGGTGGCCTCGGAGTTTCCTGGAGCTGGAGCTGGCCCGTCCACTTCCACTATGTGGCCTTGCCCGTCTTCCTCCTCCTCCGCCTCCATCTTCATGGCTTCTGGGAGGGACTTCACGCTGAGGTACCTGCAGAACACAGAGGAGCATGACTTCTGCCCAGCAAGGCCAGCCAAGGTCCCGTCACTGGGCCGGACCCACTGACCTTCCTCCTGGTACTCACCGCTCCAGGAGGCCATGGAGATCCTGCTCCACCTGCAGCTCCTTGGGCCTGAGAGGGGCCGGGAGGCCCAGGGGCCTGTCCTCCCCCTCATTGCTGGCAGCACTAAGCTCCACGTTTACGAGCGATGCGCAGGGGCCCATGCTGCTGGCGGCATCAGGCTGGGGCCAGAAAGGCAGAGGGACAGAGATTCAGCAGATAACCAAACACCACTTTTGGGGGACCTACCTTATACCAGGCTCATGCTGGGTGCTGAAGAGTAACAGGTGAGACTCACGTACCCTGTCACGCGTTCATGTGTGGGCAGAGCGAAGGGAGTGGAAGGTGCGATCTTTAGCACGGACTGCCGTTAACTGACCACCTACTCCCCGCCAGGCACGGTTCAGACAGCACCTCCCAATAAGCCCAGCAGGCATGGTTATCACAGCCCATTTTATAGACAGCAAACTGAAGCTCAAATGATTTGCCCAAACTTACAACAGAAGTGAGGGCCAGAGCTGAGATTTGAACCCAGATTTCCTTCCAGAAGCATCTCTCCTCACTCGCTCCACCAAATATGGACACCCAGCCCCCAAAACACCTTCCCTGAGGGAGCATGGGAGCCGCTCAGGATGAGGCACTCGGGTTTTCACCCATTGGTGCATGAGGCAGCACCCAGCGGAGGTTTCTCCAGTGTGAGAGCTTCCCCCACGTCCCTAGGCCGCCAAGGGCTCCGCCGTCAGGGGTATTTCACCAGAGCCCAGCCCTCCGGCAACCCCCACCTCACCTGCCATGCTGGCCCTTTCTCCTGCTCCGTCCCCAACACAGCACGGGCGGCAAGGTCTAGAGACTCCCCTGCTGTCCCTGGTGTGACCGCTGTACCCTCACTCCGCTCAGCTATATGCCACGCAGTGATCGTCTCCTAGGGGCTTGTGATGTGGGCCAGAGAGAGACTTCTCTACCAAGTCCCTTCTGCGTAGGGCCCTTGTCTAGTGTCTCCTGATCTGTGACTAGTCCCCTGGACTGAATAGTCCCTTGGGATGCTGGAGGCCATCCCTTCCCCCTTTCTTCTCACTCCCAGGGCACATCCAGGCAAACGGGCCTTCTACACCTCTCTCGGGTCCACCCACACCTCTCCATCTGCCCTACCCCCACCCCACCTACCTGCAGACCTTCTTTGAACATGCCCTGCTGAAAAACGCCGCACAGTTTAAGGCCAAACCCTTGCCGGGACTTGCAAGCCCTGACATCATGGGGCGCCTGCCCCCTCTCCAGCCAGCAGTCAGACAACTGCCCCCTCATGTTCCATACTCTAACCACAGGGCCTTTGCACAGACTGTTTTCCCTGCTGCATGGCTTCTCTTCTTCTGCATGAAGCAAGTCCCACTCACTCTCAGATCCCATTAAAACATTTCTTCCTCAAGGAATATTTCTCCTGCCCTTTAACCTCAGTCATGTTACCCTGTTACCTACTCTCCTAGAGCCCCATAATTCTCCTTTGGAGCCCTGAGAAAAATAGAATTAGTCCAGCCAGAAAGAAAATGCCATGAGGGTAGAGGCCACCCATTTCTGTCTGCTTCCCACTGAATTTCCACCATGGGCCAGCACTACTGGAACTTGGCACCTACTTCCCAAGTATGTAGGGAAGAAGCCAACTAATGGAGAAGAGAAGGAAGGGATGGTCCAGTATGGCTGGGCAGGGAGGTACCTGAGGGCAGAGGGTATGGATGGCGGGGTTGGAGGCTTGTCCTGAAGGAGAAGGCAGGCACGCCGGCTGGTGCGGGGCGGGCGAGGCTGCGAGGCTGTCCGGAGTGCAGTCTGACCCGACTCGCTCAGGCTCCTGCTGGTTCTGGTCCATGTGGTCCTTCAGCTCTTCCAGGCGAATTCCCAGCTGGAATATCTCCTCCTCTAGCTCCCTGCAACGGGGAGACACCAGCACCCAGACCCTGTTAAAGCAGCCACATCGGGCAGGGCTGGGAGGCTGAGCTTCCGAGCACAAACCCCAGAGAATGACCACGGAGGGTGCATTCAACGTCCTAATTTGGATTACGTGGAGAACTCGACAAAACAAGGTGAAAAGGGACTCCACTGGGAACCAGGAGGCCTCTGCCACCAGCAGGCTCTGGGACCTTGAGTCAATCCCCCCTCTGGCCTCGGTTCCCCACTCTGATGAGTGCTTTCGGGTCTCATCTCCAAGGTCGCTTCTCATTGCAGTGAGTCCAAAAGGACACTGATCTCAGCCTTCAGGCGTTCCCCCACCTGGATATGTTGCTAATCGGGGTAGGATTTCTCCCTCTTCCTGTAGTGGATGAAGTATAAGGACAAAGTGTGCCCCTCCTGGTGACCAAGGGAACCAGGGGCCTCCCTCCCCAGCACATACCTGCCAGGATCGAATTTTCCAGGTGTCCCCGGGGAGCCGGCAAGCTGCTGGGCCAGTTGCTGCTCCCTGCAGGCCTTCAGGTACTCCTCCTCCAGGGCTGTATGGACAGCCTTTAGGCGCTGGAAGACCTGCAACCAGACGAGGCCAGAAGACTGAGGACCTAGCCCCCTGGGGCTCTGTCCCTGCAGATACAGTGGTCGAGATAGCTCATGGCGGTTGGGTGTCGGGTGGGGCGGGGGGGGGGGCAGGAGACCCATCCTCTGGGCCCCCAAGTCACTGAAAGGCTGGGGTTCGGACTCTAAAACCTCCTGCCCCAGTCTAGCCTCTGCCATCAGACTAGCAGGGCAGAGGCACGGCTTAGAGCCTTGGCACCAGCTCCAGAGAGCACCAGTCTCTCCTGGGTAGAGCTGCAAGTTCTCTGATGTTCCATGGTGCTCCTGGTGTCAAATACACCATTACTCTGTCCCCATAAGGACCTAGTACTTGAAAGACCACGGATCCTCATGCTTCTTTTCCAAACTGTGGATCTGGACACAAGTCCCTCTGTTCCCAAATCCTTATAGACCAGCATGACAGATGATCTTATCACCACCATACTATGGATAACAGTAGCTACCATCTACTAAGCACTGAGGCTCTATGCTAAAGCGTTTTGTGTTATTCATTATTCAGTTAATTAATTCAATTAATTTACTAGTTAAATAATGAGTTTAATTCAATTCATTTAATATTCACCAACATAATCCTAATGAGAGAGGTAGTTTATCATCATCTTCATTTAAAGAGGAGGAACTGAGGCTCAGAGAGGTTATGTAAGTTGGTGAAGGTCACACAGTGAGCGAGCAAGCAAGTGGTAGTCGGAGTCTGAACCCAGGCCCTCTAGCTCCAGAGCTCATGGGCCTAGCAATGACTCTAGGCCTCCGCAGCAAGTGTGGTGAGCGCTAACAGACGGCTAACACTGTGGGAGGTTGGATCCCCATCCCTGGCTTATTATAAGCCCCATCCCACTCATTCTATACAGAGGGCAGACTGAGTGCAAGGGCAACCTAGAGTCTAGTTCCCGGGCAAGCTTGATCTTCCAACAGCTCCCGACCTCCCCGGATACGGGGGAATGAAATAGAGGGGAAGAAAAGGAATGGTTTTTGATGTTCAAGGTCCTTGCTCACCCTCTCAATGAGATACTGTAACACAAAGCACACATTTTGCAATTGGAAAAACGGATGACGTCTACATGCTAACACAGTCATTAGGAACATAGTAATGACACAGTGAAATAGAGTATTGTTTTTACAAACCAAGTGTGCTGCATTTGCCCCTCTCCACCCCTCCTGAGCTCTTCTCCCCACCTACTCTGTGCCTCCACTGACACCTAGCCTCCCCACCTGCTGGGAACAGTCAGTCCTGGGCTTCCTGGATGCTGCCCACAGCCCTGCTAACAGCCCCTGCCTCGACCCCCTCACTCCCAGCTTCCAGAGCCCCACCTGCTCCCTTCCCAGGATCCTGGCTGATGCAGCAGAAATCTAGATTTTATACATGACTATAGTTTATCTAGAAATACCAAAGTCCAAAAGGAAATAAGCCAGTAACGGTTAGATTAAGGCTCTCCTCCCCTTTCCCCCTTGGTTTTCAAATATTGGGCAATTACTTTTATAATAAAGAAAAGTAAAGAAAAGAGAAAGTCTTTTTCTGGTGGCTGAGAAGCAGCATAGTCAGTGGGAAGCAGTGCCAGCCAGTTATCACCACGCTGGACTTGCGGTCTGGGCTGCCCCATTCCATTCCAGTTAAAGGGGGTGATGACTGTAACTGCCTTACCGGTTTTCTATGAGAAAATGAAACCATGGGCATCCGAGGCTCGCCACGGTGCCTGGCCCACCATCATCGTCGCCTAAGGAGCGGTAATCCTGCGCTATCATGATCGTGGTCCTGGCAAGCTAAGCAGTGTGTGTGTCTGCGATTCTCTGGCCTGTCCTGTGGCAGACGAGGCTTCAGGGACGTGGCTGTGGGAGACAGCTCCAAGGGCATCTCCCACAGTGGGCAGTACCTTGAGTTGGTCCTGGGCTGTCAGCCGTCCCGCCTGCAACAGTCCTGCAAAGGCCTCCACCTGGGCATTGGGACGAAAGGAAACACGGTCCATTAGTCCAGACCCTAGAAGATGGGTCCTACAGGATGTCACATTCATGCTTTGGCACCAGGAACTGGGTCCCGCCTCAGGATGTGGGTTTTCTGCCAAGCACGGAAAGGCGGATGCCAGACATTGACCCCACCATGGGCCTCAGCCCTGGCAGCGTTAGGAAAAAATCAAAGTGGAGGCTCCCAGAATTTATCGATAGCAAAGCACACTCACTCATGTGCATTAAGGCCTATGAGCCAAGAATGTTCACTGCAGCACAACTGGGGGGCAATGGGAAACGATATAAAAGCCTATCTGTGGAATAGCATGCAGCCATCAAGAAGAGGAAGGGCTATGTGTACCTGCTCCTGGATAAAGTAAGACCTACTTTTTGGTGTCAAATCAAGGGACAGGCCAGTCTTTATAATACGCTACCATCTGTATAAAATATCGAGAGAATAAAAAAGGAAAAATATAAATACATTTGCCTGTATATTATAAACGACCTCTAGAAGGATGCAAGAAACTAAAACATTCATTGCTTCTGGGGCAGAGAACTGGGTGGCAGGGGCGGGGGGAAGCGTTTCTACTATACGCATCTTTTGAATTTTGAACAAAGTGAATTCATTGGCTACCCAGAAATATTCAACTTCGGGATATTAAAAAAGTCAGGGTACAGCATAGCACACATACTTACGTGACCATTTCTATAAACACGTGTGTGTGTTGAACTTTTTTGCACAAAACAGAAGGGTAAGTACGGGAAAACAGAGTTTTTACTGAATATGGCCTTCGTATTATGTGAGGGTCTTTACCGTGTACGTCTATTAGCTTTACAAAACAATTTTTAACTAGGAAAAAAAGGGCAAAGGTGATTTGGGAATTTCTGGGATTTCTAGGAAAGCTCTAGGTTAGTGCCAAAATATAATATAGAAATTTATATAATACAATGATATTACATAACATATATATAAAATAGAAATGTAAGCTACCTATACAATTTAAAATTTTCTATAAAATAAGATTTTCTAATAGCCGTATTTAAAATGTAAAGAAGTAACAGGTGAATTAATTTTAATAATACATTTTATGACCCTAAACTATTATTTTGACATGTAATCAATGAAAAAATTACCAATGAGATATTTTATATTCTTTTGTCACATTACATCTTTGAGATCCAGCGTATGTTTTCCACTGACAGAACATCTCAGTTTGGACCGGCCACCTGTCAAGTGCTCAGGAACCACACGACCTGTGGTTCCTATTCAAACAATACAGCTCTAGATCATCAGTGGTCAGCTGGTGCCCCAGCTCCTGCTCAGTGTGATGACCTTGGCTTTGCTTTATAACACACAGGACAGGAAGACTCATCCCTCCAGCGATGGGACTCAGAATGGTGGTGATTACACAGGATAAAGTACCTGTTCATGTTACTATGATACATGTGTAAAGACATTTGGATCAGCCAAAGAAGCCAGATACAAAAGGACAACTGTTCTAGGACTCTATTTATATGAAATGTCCAGAAGAGGCAAACCCGTGGAGACAAAGTAGGTGAGCAGCCGCTGGGGGCCGGGACAGGGGGAATGGGGAGCGACCCCTTCATGGATATGGAGTCTCTTATTGGGTGATGAAAATGTTCTAAGGCCGGGCGCCTGGGTGGCTCAGTCGTTGAGCGTCTGCCTTCGGCTCAGGTCATGATCCCAGGGTCCTGGGATCGAGCCCCGCATCGGGCTCCCTGCTCCGCGGGAAGCCTGCTTCTCCCTCTCCCACTCCCCCTGCTTGTGTTCCTGCTCTCACTGTCTCTCTCTCTGTCAAATAAATAAATAAAATCTTTAAAAAAAAAAAAGAAAAAAGAAAATGTTCTAAGGCCGACTGTGGGGATGACTGCATGACGGTGAATATAGTAAAACCTACTGAAGCTTATTAACTTTAACAGGGAAAATTGTGTGATATGTGAATTCTATCTCAGTAAAATGGTTACCAAAAAATAAATAATGGTATTTCTCTGAAGGAATTTTTTTATGAACACGGTAATATATGTAACTGCTGCATTTCCCTTTTTGCATTGACAGCTGGGAAGCTCAAAGCATTCAGGGTCTGACAGGACATTTTGTTTATTCACTTTACACTAAGTTCACTCTGGTTTTTTTCTACCCTTACTTCCCCTTTGCCCCCAGTTTCCTTCCTTCCGTCTTCAGAAGGTGGTTATAATGCAGGTTTTTTCTCAGCTGCTCTAAAGCCCTTTTGGCGGAAGGCCAAGTGTATAGTTATAAATAGACCTGCAAACAACTCACAGTTACTTGGACTGTTTGGTGAAAATATAAAGGCCCTTTGAGAAGGGACTGAGAATGGATGTCTGTAATGAATTAACTAAGAAAGTGGGGTGATTTATCCTGAAGAGGAACAGGTAGAGTGGAGGTTCTGTTACCCTTCCAGAATCCTGGAAGGGCTGAGAGTCTCCCCTGGCAGGGGACCTAGGAGATACTTTCAAGCACAGCTGGAGAGAGTTTGATGAGTGATGAGACACAGTGCCAACAGAGGGAGCGAAACCCGGCGCTGAGTGACAAGGAGGAGGCTCTAGACCAAATGGTCTCTAAACCAGGGCAGAGGCTCACGTTTTCGAGATGGCCAAGTTACCTCCAGCAAGGGAGGAACAAGGGAGCCTTGTGGAGAGCTTCTTACTCAAGCAGGCAGAGGCTCTGCTTTCTCCAGGTGAGTTGTGTCTCCCCGGGGCAAAGCTGGGGTTCCCCTCACCTTGGCCATGAACTGGCTGGCCTGAGCGGCCAACTCCTGGGTCCGTTCTGCTGATGGCTGGTCCTGGGTGATGACCGGGTTCTCCAGAAGCCACGCTGGGGCAGACGAGGAGGGGTTCAGGTCTCCTTGAGCTGACGGCCACCCTGGAATGCACAACCACTCAATGCTGGGGCCAAGAACTGTCCTTCCTGGGGTGAGGGACTCAGCGAACCTCAGAACCACACCCGCCATCATCAAGCTACAACTGTCGTATCACAATCACACTGTCCTCACACGGGCCCCAGGATGCGGGATGGGCGGTGTATAGGGGAGAGCAAGGTCTGGATCTGCCCTAGAACGCACAGCTGGGGCCGAGACAGGCCTCTGGTTTCCCGGTCAGTGGTTCAGGCTCTAACTCAGAAAGACCGGGGTCCAAATCCCCACCCTCTCCCTTCCCCTATAGCAGTGTGACCTTCAGCATGTCCTCACCTCTCTGAGCCTTGGTTTCCTTGACTCTCAGTGGGACTGACGGGGAGATTAACTGGGATCATGCATGGCAAGCCTTGGCGCAGAGCCTGGCCCCCATGTGGGCTCCATAGTGACAGTGCTCTCTGTTCTGCAATGGGCCCAAGATCACTCAACTGCCAAGTGCAGAGTCGGGCTTTTCCCAGGCTGCTCTGGCTCTAGGCAAGATGCTTTCCCCATCTCTATTTGCCCTCTTCAAGTCAAAGGTCCCAGAGAACTCGTCTCCCTCCCTCCCCTGGCCTGAAGCCAGTGTCACTCCGTGTCACTCCAAGGGGAAACCAAGTGCCTCCAGAGCAGAATCACAGGCAGAAGGCCCTCCAGTCCCATTTCCTCTCCCAGGCTCACCTGAGGTCCCAGAGGTCTGTGGGGCTTCGGCAGGGCCCGACCACCACAGCACAGAGTGGGGCTGTGGGATGCTGAAGGACAAGACCTTGGTCCCCTGGGGCACCGTCCCTGTATGCATGCTGTGGCTGGGCTGGGGCTGGTCCGAGTACAGGTTCACCTGTCCGGGAGGGGAGGCATGAGCAGAGCAATGTCAGGGATGGGGCAAGCCTCCCAACAGGCCTCCCCTTCATTCACACCATCACTTAGGCCCTCGACAAACATGCCTTGTAATAATAAATACTACCATTAGTGGAGCCCTTGGGTGGCGGCCAAACACTGGGTCAAGGACTTACAGGCCCTTTCATCCTCTCTTTATGGCAGCTCTGAAGGGGAGGCAAGGCAGGGACTATCATCCACATTTTACAGAAAAGGAAACTGAGACTCTGGTTAAGTCACTCACTCAAAATCTCCAGCTATAAATCCTTGGGCTCAGATTGTAACCTGCTGCGACCCTAAAGACTATGGTTTTCCATTTTTAATATTTGTTATAATAATTCACAATGTAACCACAATTATAATTAATATGGTATTTAACATACAGCAAATATAAATATAATTATATACTATTTATTAATAAAAGCATTTCAATCATAATGATCACATTGATAATAATAACAGCAATTGATGGCTCTTTGAATGAGTGCGTAAACCAACAAGTGAGTAAAGTAATCTCTCAGCTAGGGGGTCTCCATCCCTCGAGGGTGGATTTCAAATGGTAAACAGCCGAGTCTGGAATCAGGCCGATGGGCCAAGGAAGCACAAGATTAGAGGAGACCCATGTAGGGAGGATGGTGGTCCAGTGCAGGGGTTGGCCAACTATGGTCTGTTTTTGTGAATACTGTTCTAGTGGACACAGCTACGCTTGCTTATGTATTATCTATGGTCTTTCATGCTACCACGGCGGCGCTGAGTCATTACCACAGAGGCTGTATGGCCCACAAAGCTAAAAATATTCACCAGTGGGCTTTACCACTGGCCACTTCTGAGTCCTAGAACAGGTGATTTAACTGTTCTCTGTGCACAAAATGAGTCCTCAGTAAACAGAAGCCACCATCCTCATATTCATCATCACCATTATTATTGTTGTTACCATCATTACACATCACAATTCCCAACATCATCATCGTCGAATCATCATCACTATCACCATTATCACCATCACCATCATTGCCATCATCATCATCATGATCATCACCATCACCACCATCACCATCACCATCACCAGCGCCATCATCATCATCACCACCATCATCACCATCATTGCCATCATCACCATCACCAACACCATCA